CCCATGTTCATTGGGACTCCCTACTATGGATACGTCTATGAGGATACGCTTGCAGTAAGTGCTGGTTTTGACCTGCGGAAGTGCAGTCTTTCACGTTTCAGCCAAAATAAACATGTGCTTTGGGCTGCAGCACTATCCTCTCAATATCTCATCTGGGCCAAGGTGAACCTGACACCAAGTAGCACAGGGTACTTTCTGCTCAGCTAGGCTGGAGGAAGGGCCCAGGAAATCCTCCCAGGTCCAAGTGCACCAGAATACTAAGAAAGCAGGGGCATACTGAGGAGAACCACGGACGAGTTGTCCTAAAACTATGTTTGTTGCTATGCCTATTGCTGAAGATACGCCTCCTTATATATCATGGACAGCCAAAGGAATACAGAGATCTCCTGGCTGTGCCACCGTCTCAGAAAGTCCTACTGTCAGATCTGCTCAAAAGAGAGCGTAGAGTTTATCCAGTCAGTGTATCGTGGCACTTTGACCCATACAGTAGTCTTGATGCTGGTGATGCTTCCAGACACATATCATTCCCAAAGCTGTAAACTCATCAGTTTGAGGTGCAACTCTAAGCAGAGGCACAGTACTGAATAGGGATCAATTTTCACCCTGATACATGTTTTAAGTAAAATTTGCTTCATACAGAGCATGAGAAATGGTACCTACTTATGAAATTACTCAACTTTAGACTGTTGTCAATGTTAGCACCCCGTTTGCCTCGTTCTTCACTTGAATTGGCATAATGCAGATCTTTACTTTCTGTCTAAAACTGTGATGCAAATGTGTGACAGTAGGCAAAAGCTCAGTTCATAGGCTGTTACATTTCAGCAGGGCCGAGTAACATTTGTGTGCTTTGCAGATGTTCAGAATGTATGGAGGATAGACTTATTCTGAGAGTTACACATAGATCTTGAAATAACTATCAGGTGCTCAAAGAAGTGAGTGAGCATCTAGCATGAAACAAAAGCCAGTAACTGTTACTTATGGCCAGCCTTAAGCTCATAGCTTAGACAAGTATGATATTATAATGATCTAAGCACCGACAATACTTAAGTGCGAGATTTGCTATTAGATTTAATTTCACAGAGAGAAGTGCAATAAAAGAGTTCAGCATTGCTTTTATTTTCTACTTGAATTCCGCAAACTTGCCTTTTCCTTTGTGGAGTTGTCAGGATTAACAAGTCCTGTGTCACTTTCAAAGGGACTGCGCTATATTTTGCTCCATTGGCAAATTTTATTGCAGCTTCCAGCATGAATCGTAATAAATACAGTTTTGTATTTCCAATTGCTCTATTGGAAACTTGCTCTCATTTAAAAAATTTACTCAAGGGATGAGCGAATGAAAGGAACAAAAACATTCCCTGCTGCCATTTGTGTTTAACTGACAGTTTCTTGAGCGTTTCTTGTTTTCGCAGTCCCAAATAATTCAATTCAGACACCTAAATTGTGCAGCCCACCGCAACTTTTGTGAGCGCTTTAAAGCTGACAGCCTTCATCCTTTTCAGTCAATAGGAACAGCCATATAAATGTTTTCCAGACCTCATCCATGTATGGCTCTGGACATTTTCCTAACACAGAAAGACGCGAAGGCTTTGAGAATGGTTAAATCATCATAATCTTCATTGCTATTTTATGCCCTACGTGTTCAACGAAGCAAGTTGCTTTCTGACCCTTGGCTCACGTTTGCTGCCTGTCTGAACCTGATGAGGTGGTGCTGAGACTATTCTTCAGCAGCTATGGGGGTCTCAGCACACTGTGGGACACACAGAAATAGTATGAGTTCCAGTGACTGCCAGAGGGCATGCTGGTAGCAAACCAAAGCAATCCTCAGGTCTCAGATTTGTTACTCCTAATCTATAGAGAAGGACAAAGGCTGGGTCCTGGGCAAACAGGCACAGCCTCGTGGCAGGAACAGTTTTTCTCGTTGCAAGTCAATATATCTTATGCAAAAGTACCGCCATTCCCGCTACACCTTACTGCAGAAAGGCTTTCTGAAATTCAGTTTATTAATACACCACTGCACTTTCATTGCTTTTTGATCTCAACACACAAACCGTAACGCCCTATTTCTCCGCAGGGCTCTCAGGTCCTCACTGTTGTCACACTCAGTGGAGACAGAGGAAAGCCAAATAGCATTCATTACTGCATCGTAAATGGTGAGTAGACTTGGCTTATATGAATTCTGAGGGGAAGTCAAATCTAGATGTGACATGAAATTAGAGACAGAAGAGCCTAGAGCTTGATAACGCGCCGACAAACTCAGATGAAATAGCATTATATATCTCAAACAACTCCAGGGCCCTGCCTACCAGAAAATGAGATAGGATTCACTGAATTGCAGCACTGTGCTTGGAGTTGTTAACGCAGTCGATTTGTTAGGCATCAGTAGCCCGCTTGTCACTTCAGAAAACTTAAAGGAAGACACATTCAGTGCCACTGAACATCTCTTTAATTCGATTAAGGAAATGAGAAAATGCTTTGGGAGACCCAGATGTGGCATTAAAAGGACTATTTTTATTATTATTTTCATTGGAGTGGGTAAACAGCCGAATCTCTGGTTTCTTGGAAGAAACTGTATTTACTAGAGAAGAGGTCAACCGTACTGTAAGAAAGCAGGTATTATCAAAGCAGCAATGCTTTTCATTAGCTCTTCTGAGGGTGGCTGTAGCCTCTCTTTCAAGTTTTGTACTTATGCTCTTATCTGAATTGAGGACTCATTAGCTGGTGAAATCAACCATTTACCTCCAAGCCACCTGGTTCTCTCTTACCTCAAAAGAGGACTTGCACCATGACTGGGTACCCAGACTCCCAGGGCCCCAGCATTTCATACAGTAACTGTCCAATTTACTTGCAGAGCTACTCATGAAATTATTCCCAAATTTTGTTTGTTACATCATCTAAAAAGCAAAGACTTGAGTGGCCAGAGAGAAGCAGATTTCAGATTTTGTGTTGATGTGGGATGGGACCCATGCTCAAGTTTCTTCTCCCCTGATGCAAGGGAATAGCTAGAGTAGGGGTTGCAGAAGAGAAAAATAGATGAAAAATGAGAGAAGTTGAAAAGAAAGGTGGAGAATGAGGAATGCAAACAAGGAAGCGGGACAGAAAGAAGCTCAACAGGGGAGAAAACTGTTGAAGGAGCATCAAGGTAGGCAGGTGAACAAGGGGCCATGTCTAAGGAAATGGGGCACATAAAAAAGAGCATGGCCATCAGGTCAAACGAGGCAATGCTCCCCCTCTACTCTGCCATGGCTGAAGTACCACATGCAGCTCTGGGCTCCCCAGTTATAGACATGTAGAGAGAGTGCAGCAGAAGGCCACAAGGACGACAAGGGGCCCTCGCACCTTCTGTATGAGGGAAGGCTGAGAGATCTGGGACCATCCAACCTGGAGAAGGGAAGGCTGAAGTGGGTGGGGGTAAATGAGTACACAGAAATTATTTATTCTTTTTAAGCCTTTTCTAACCAGAGTGTGTAAGACGACTTGAGAAAGTACTCTAACCCTCTAAAAATGCAAAAGAGAGGAACACATGTAGCACTACATACCCAGAGTTAACTACTGCCCTATATACAATTTCCCTGCATTATGCAGACACTAACATGAGGTATTGTGGGTTGCAACCGCTATTGATTTCAGCTCCTTCTCAGTCAGGATGTGCTTTCCAGGCCAACACATCTTAATAATTGACCCCCTAGATGTGTCAATCTGTTCAATGTCATGTCCAATATACTTTAATGAAGTTGCAGTTACCACAAGTATTACCAAAATGGGACTCTATCAGATGGTTTAAAAATAAACATTAGCATCGAGTTATAGAGAAATAAAAGCGACTGGGCTTTCAGATGATCATCCTCTTTTCTAAAAGCCTCAAGTTCCTTCATTTTAAGAGCTTTTCTCTCACCTCCTTTTAATGGTAGATTCTGCAACCAAGAAGAACCTGCGGACAATCCTACGGGTAAGATTGCATGCAGGGGCACATAGGGCAGGATGGGTCCCCAGCTGTCAGCCATCCCCTCCTCTAGCAAGGCAAATTCACCAGGTGGAAAGGGATCAAAGCCCTGTAACTGGTTTTCTGTTCAGAAAGTTGGAAGTTACGGCACAGGGATCAAAATCAGCCTGTAGCCCCATTCTGCCTGCGGAGCTGTCTCAGCCTCTGTGAAAAAAGCCTGGCTTTTACCCTAAATTCTCCTAAATCCCCTTTCACGCAGGCCAGCCTTGCAAGAAGATGCATGCTTTTTAACTAATTGGATGTTTAAAGCCAGAAGATGCTTCTCCCAAGCCGCTCTCCACAGATAGAGTGACTGTGCTTCTTTAGGATAAATAGTCAAACTTCTCACCTTAGCTGATATTAGCAAGAGCAATGTTCCTGTTGCTCTGAAACTTAATTATGTATACATTTGCAAATAAAAATCAGTTGGTCTTTTTTTTTTTTTTTGTCTAAACTAGCACTTAAAGATGACAGCATAACAAGAAGGAATACCAAATGTGCAGGCCCGGTTGCTGAGGCTCGAAGGGAACCTTGCCAACACAGGAGAGAGGAAACCAAGGTTGGCCACCTGCACTGTCAGAGCTCTGCCTAGCTGCTCCTAGAAGAGGAAACTCTTGTTGGCCCTTATCTGTGCTTTTACCACACTACAACCAGGCATAGAAATGCTTCAGTTTTCAAAAATTGCCACAGATCTACTGATAGGAGTAGACACACATACAGATAGACATGCTTAACAAAGCATACAGTTAGTTTATCACACTGGTTCAAGATACAGGAAGAACAGCACTTAACTAGACTCTTGTTTTATTGCAGGAGGTGAAGGTTCCTTTGAAATCAGCAACAGCACCGGAGCAATTTCAGTTATAAAAAGTCCAAATCAGCTCAAGAAAGTACATGAACTAAGAGTTCATGTATATACTGAGGGCCCCAGCTGTGCTCAGTTTACCCTACTACCACCCCTTTCCTGGCAGACCCCTCATGGGGAAATCTCCCGCTAATTGTGAGTGTGGTTCCTTATCTTGGTGTGACCAGAGGCATTGCAATCCATACAGTGATACATATGGGAGTTGAGAAACAATTTGCAGAATCCCCTTAATATATAGTCTAAATTATGCTGCTGCTTGGCTACTGCTGTTAGCTCTAACTGCATCTACTTCAAGACAAGGATCTTTCTTTCCGTCCTCAGAAAAAAAGACAACTATTTTTTAAGGAAATTCCATCACATTTTTCCATTGCAGAGCTTTAATACCAAACCAGAGAACATACTAATTTTTCATATGGGAGACAACAAGCGTGGTAAGGAATTTAATTTAGCACTGCCCAAAGTCTGGCACACTTTAAATAATTGAGCAGTAACTCCTCAGAGGGGTGCAGCAACAGACGAGCGCTTTTTTTTTTCCTTGAGCCCTCATAGCACAAACACATCAGTTAGGGATGTGTTTTGTTATAACAGATTTTGTGTTCAGACAGCACGAAAGTCTTAGAATGAAGGAGGTGAGTTGGTCTGCATGTTGGAATTGATTAAAACATATCATCTTTCTGTTAAGGAAAACACCAACTACATTTGCTCATCTGCACAACCTACACCCAGCTTAAGCAAAGACAATCTAGACAGCAAAGGAGAATTCCAAATCGGAGAATAAATCTGTCATCTTGCTCTTTCAAATTTCACCCAGCCTCAATTTGTTGAAGTACAGCTTCTCTATCAGAATTCCAGAACTGCCACCCTTCCAGAACAGCAGCACTCAAACACCTATGGTACTGTTACAGAAGGAAAAATTAGCACAGTAAAAAGGCAATACAGGAGCAGAAAAGCAAAAGAACAAACGGGAAAGCAACGCTCACCCACTTCAGGATCTAGGCTCACAGGGAAAAACTCCAGAAGGGAGGGATCTCCAACCACAGAGATCCTTCCCTGGCAGCAGTCAGCCCTTAAATGCCATCTAAGTGAGGTGCAGCCAGGCTCCACCCTTCCTGTCACACAGCTGAATTGCCTTCACCTGTGCTCTCTGGGCTGACCAGGTCCTTTCCCCAGGTGATCAATCAGTGCTTCGGGCTGTGACTCAACAGTTACCATACACACTCCCAGCAAATTTAGTGTACATTTTCACTTTTTATTTTGTCAACACTTCAGGCAAGCAATTATCTTGTCTGTATCAAGTTACCTGTCTTTAGAGAACTGTTTTTACGTAGGGTAAAATACGAAGCTCACAAAGCAACATTTTTCCAGCAGAGCTTGGTTGGGACTGGATTATTACCGCACTTTCTAATCACCATGAAGTCCAGTGCAAAGCAGACCAATACTTCTACGGAAAGGTAATGTTGTGAATGCTTGTACACAAGTCCTGTGTCAGGGTGCTTTGTGCATGCAGAAGAAGACCTGAACGCAGAACTAAGGAAGGAGACAGCTGCAGCTAAGAAGGGAATATTCCCTCATCACTGTTCTCCCGCTTTACTTTGTGCGGGCATCAGAAGTCTGCCCAAAAGGTGACATCTCAGCATACGCCTTTGCCACGGTGACTATAAGGGTGGTCGATCTCAACAACTGAAATTTCATGGAGAAAGCGGTTCCCAGAACAGATTTGAACCAATCATATGGGAGCATCCCCAGAGGGTGAAATCATAAGAGGATTTAAGATGACAGTCTATAATTCAGACCAGGTATGTGCGAACTGCGTGAGTTTTCCTGCCCTGTTTTCCCAAAAATAGAAAGGGACACCAGAGAGACAAATGTCAGGCCTTTGTTTTTTTTGGAACACACACTGGAACACATGCACTCCTAGAAAGCTTAGGGCAAGCAAAATACTTGCCAGGACCGTTGCCACAGAGAATTTAGACTCTAAGGCATATTTAGTTTGTCATACATCATTTAGTCTGACCATTATGTCAGAGAGAAGAGCACCAGTCCCAGATCTGCAGCCCACCTCTTGAGGACCTCTGAAATTGAAAAGTCTTCATGCATTTCCTTTGTCTGTTGGTTATGTTCAGTTGCTGTCAGCATAAAGTCTGGGAACATATTCCCTTTAGATAACTACTGAAGCCCCAATTGCTTTAGCAACTTGAAGTGCTTTAAGTTTCCGTCCATACCTTTCATAAGCCCTCTGGAAGCAATTCCATCCATGCCTTTTCACAGTACATATGGCAGCATATTATCCTTCTAGAGCTTATGTTACAACCAGAGTCTGTAATTCATGCTTTGAAATATCATTCCCATTGGAGTTATATTTTTAGGTCATCTTAAAAATTATGCCAGCACCAAACTAACTGATCAAAAGGAAAAAAAAGACAACTTCATCCATCTCAGTCCAATAACTAGCTGACTTCTGCCATCCATAGACATTATTGTGACAGTCACTATAGGCATCCCTAAGCTGAATACCACAGGAAGGGCATCTGTCCAAAGATGATGGAAAGAGCACTCTTATTCAACCATTCTCAGTATTGCGCTGTTTTGACTGTGCTGTATTCTAAGAAAACCACCACCTTCTTCCACCTCCCTCCAACTGCTCTGCAGCAAGCAGATAAACAACTGCTTTCAAAGCAGCACTGCGTCTATCTCACTATTGTCACTGAAGATGTTTCTACAGAAGAAACTAAACCTCTTTTATTTGGAGACCAAACATATATGTATCACCTAGACTGGCAAAATACTCAGGGCCACAAGTTAGGCTATAAAATAGGCAAAAAATACAGCTAATTGTTCAGATTTCACAAGAAGCTTCCTAATACAGGATAAGATACCACTCTATGAGGATTGGGTTGCATAACACTACAATAGGATGGAAACTACCTGATAATAGTAGGACGATAAAGTCTTTAGCTAGAGCAAACAAGGAGAAGCCCAAACGCAACAGCTGCAGACGTAACAAAGGAAAAGAGCTCTTACCTTTAAAATACTTACATAGTTGGAAGGGACATCCAGCAAGAAAAACCCTTACTCCCCACTGCCAATCCTTAAATGAGGTCTGGGAAGGGGTGGATCCTGGCTCCAGCCACTCAGGTCACTCACTTGCATTGCACGCACCTGGGCTGGCCCCGCCTTCCCACCAGGTGCTCAATCAGTAGTTGAGGCCCTGATTTAGCATTTCCAGTCAGGCTGATACAGTTTCAGGGATCAGAAAGCAATGTTTTTCCCCCTATAAAGACTTACGTCTCTGTAACAGTCATCAAGGTCTCTAGTGGTGCAGGCGAGAAGGAAGCCGCGATCACGGCCTAAGATTTGATGGAAATGCCATCTTGCAAGAACATCACACAGAAATTTCTCACTCCGCTCTCTTTAGCCAGCAGATGCCACTAAAGGCCTGGTGTGATCGTGCCTTCCATTGCTCCTCTGTCCCACGGCTATCTGCTTTGCTATGTGCAACAGGGCTTACTCCGTGCAGATCCAGGCTGGGCTGATAATACTGTCAAAAATCACCGAGCCTTTGAAGGGAGGCTTTGAACTCTGAAGGCCAACCGTCCTGAGCGTTCAAAGCATCTTATATATTTAAACTTTACGTGGGGGAAGAATGGAACTCAACACTTATTTGACGGCATAACAATCTGTAGTTTCCTCCATCTGCTTTCTGGAAGTGCAGGCTAAGAATATCCTGACACGTCGGTCTTGCGTAGACCGTTCACAACCCAGCAGTGATTTTCCAGCATGACAAAGTTAACTTGTTCTATTCTTCAAATGTGGATATATTAAAAGCAGCAGTAAGTGGAAGTGAAAAAACCGCATGAATTCTCACTGCTTAAGTCAGAGTACTGGCTTTATCTTGACACATTTCTTTGAATAAAATAGCAACCTGAGGAGAAAGCACTCATCATTGACTAATGTTTATGAACAGGTCTTTCCTACAGGGAAACCTTTAGTCAGTTGCTACTAAATATCCAAGATACCAGAACAGTCTGAGTTAGGAATACCAAATGTAAAACTGGAAGCTCGATTTTAAAAAAGTAGGTTATGTGCCATTACTGGACAAGGGGTCTGTTATTTATCTAAATTTCTAAATATAACTGCTCACCTGCATACTCAAAACTCAATCGAACAGTTCCTATAGCCTGGCACCATTAGCAAAATGTAGAAAAAATCAATACAATAGCTTTTCAGATATGGAAGCGCTGATGAAGTGCACTCAGGGTTTAAGCTTTTTGTTGTTGTTGTTCAATACCGAAATTAAAATTCAAAGTTCAAATTCTTATATTAAAATAGGAGCACGAGGACGTAAATCCAGGGAGACAGCAGCAAAGCATAGGAACAAAAAATGAGAAAGAACCCTTCAGAATTATTCCTTTATATATAAGTCTCCCTGGTAAGTCAGTCTATGTTGAGAAAGGTGATTAAAGCCATCTGATACGTACGCCTATCTCTCCCTATTCTCTCATTCGCAACTCCAGCCCCTGTCCAATAAACATTCCCCGTCAGAACAAGCAAAACTATGGAGTTACATTAAGCAACAAATTTCAAGTGGAGACAAAGAGGGGAGCTGAGAAGCTCAGTTTAAAGGCCATATTTACTCCCTGTTCATTTTTGTCTCCGTTTTCCTTCCTAACCAGTCACATAATAGAAGTATTTTCTGGAGACATCGTTGTCATCTGTTCCTCTCTGCTGTATGTTTCGCATGAGTATTTGTTTTTTGTTGTTTTTTTTTGTTTGTTTTTTGTTTATTTGCTTTTTTTTTTTTTTTACAAATGCCTTGGTTTCCGAAAGCGTCCAAAACGCTGTTGCACAGTCACTCTTCCCATGTTTTGTAAACCATCTAATTTAAAGAAATAAAGGAACTCCGCTCTATCCTTTGTCGAAGCACATCCATTACTGTAGGAAGGGCTGTACATCATTTGTTGGAATCGCTCTATTCCAACAAATCAGCAAAATAGCGAACATAAGGATTCGCTCCGTGAGGAGTCATAGATGTGGCTAGAGTCAGCGTGAGATAAAAACAGTCAAATGATAAAGGATGGTACTAAAGAAACAAATGTCAGCGGTTTAAACGTGCTCAATGGTATGGCTGAATCGTATTTGGTATCGAACTGCTCTCAAAGGGAGAACACTTAAAGGCACTTCTCATGCCACAGCGAGGTCCGGTTGATTTGTCATGGCCACAACTTGTCATAAGTTAAAATTGCCTGATCAATGGAAACAGAACAAATTGTCTTATGTTGTTAAAAAAGGATAGGCTGTGTTTAACTTTTCAAAATGAGGATGTCTGAATTTGTTTTATTCCTTTTTTAGAAATAAAAAATGAGACCGGGTTGATAAACGGTAATTTATTCTTCCATCAGTTTCTTCCTGAGAAAACACTTGCAGTTTATTTTTTTTTTAGATAGATGTGCAGGCAGGCGATCAATCAGAGCTGATGAACACACACACAAAACCCTACGAAGGAGTTTCCCTTCACTTGTAGATTACCTTTGTCTTTCAGAATTAGAAAAATTCATCATTAACCAGTTTGAAGATGCTACAGCCCATTCAAAGAGGAATTGCAGTCGGTGACGTTTTAGGTAGTTTTGCTTTAACAAGGAATTACCGCAGCAATTTGAAACGGAGCCGAGAAAACATAGTTCAGAAGCTTGCTCCTAGCGCTCGTATAGTCGTCAATAAGACACGCTCTTTGCAATTTAGGCAATCCACTGTGAAACCATCTTGCATTTATTATACCAAATTGCAGGTGTTTTCATGAGAAAGTTTAGATATATCAGTAGTTTAAAAGTAGCTGCGGGCAATAGCCGTCACAGACATTCCACGCCAACATTTCTTTCAAGACCTTGTCATTATGACTGCGGAGTCAGAGGGACTGTTTTCTACTCGTCCACACAGCTGCATTCAGGGCAGAGACAGAAAGCATACAGCGAGGCCTCCAAAAACGGAGGCTGGGGATGTTCTTTGGAAGGGTGTCGGAAGTGATCCGTTCAAATCACGTGCAATTATTTGACTTATTAATGAATTCAACAATGACGTGCGAAGAGAAAGCGCATAACAAACTGTACCGAAGTGCATTTTCAGTCCCTAAGTCAGATCTAGAGCCCAAGCGTCTAACCGTCAGGATCCCCAGCCGGTCCGAGCGAGCCCTGCCCGCGCTAACGAGGCAACGACTCGCAGGCGCGGCGGAGCCGCGGCCGGCCGGCCACAGGCGCGCCTCGTCGGCATCCCGGGGCGGGGCCGCCCCGTCTCTTAAGCTCCGCCGGAGGCCGTAAGGAGCCACGAGAGAGCTGCTGAGGTTTGCTGCGTGCGGGCGTGGTCTGCGTTCTGTCGCCCAGTTCTTGCGCCGTTGGGGTTGAATGGCGGTACGAGGGGCTGTTCTTAACGCGAGGCCTCGGGATTCTATGCGACGTTCTCTGTTGTGTCGCTTTGTTTCAGGCCGCAGTGGGATTTCACGCGGCGAGGATCAGCCCTAATCGGTGAGCCGTTCCGGCAGCGGTAGGACCGCGGAGGCAGCGAGCATTTCGAAGCCTGCGGGTTGGGGGTCCTGCCGTGCCGACTCCGGTTTCTCGGAGGCGGCAAAGCACCGTTCTCCGTCCGCCGACGCGGTTTCGGAGCGGGCTGCTGCTCGGTTACCCGAGCGCTAGCGCGGCTGTGGGGTTTTGTTAGCCCCAGTCCCTACAGCTTTTTAGCAGCTGTCTCGGTTACTCCCGTTCTCATTAGCGGGAACAAGGCGGATGGAGCCGTGTTCCTGCAGCCTCGATGGTGCTGGGAGTCGAAAGCAACGCCGCGAACTGCTGACATAAAAGCTTTCCTTGATTGCAGGCTGTGCGGGGGTTGCAGCGGAACTTTTTCAGCCCGAACAGGCGAGACGGTGGAAACGATGAGCGTTTCTGAACCACCCTGTGAGATTCTGTGAGATTTCTTTCCTTAGAAATCGCGTTGGACCGCCGCTCGACAGCCTCCGTTTCTTCGCGATCAGCTCGGTGCCGCCGCCGATCCGGCCGAGACAGAGCGCGACCCCGAGGCGGCCTCGACGCCCCGGCAGGATTTTTCGGGCACTTCGGTCCCTCCCGCTTGCGGCAGCGGCGCGTGCATTTCCTCCCTTCTTTTGTGTGACTTCAGGCGTGTCCTCTTACTTCTCTCGTGGAGACACAGCTGGACAGCTTTCAAAACTGGAATGCTGTTTTGGATGAGACGTTATATTTTCTTGAGAAGGAGACCAGCAACTATGCAGCAGCAGCGGCATTTGGCAAGAGAACCAGGAGAGACGAAGAATCGCTGGAGCTCTGGGGAGGCTCTCAAAGTAAGCCTCCATAGGGTACTTAACATCACATAGGTCACAATGCAGATTCATGGCAGGAAGTTATTGGTTATCATAGAAGTCATATTCTCTGGCTTCGTTGTGAAATAATTTGAGTTAATGCGAAGTGAATAAAAGTACTCACAGCCACTGAACACTCACTGTCTTCTAGATGTATTCCCTCACGCAAACTGATCCTCTCAGTGATGGGAAAAGACAGTTTCTCATTTCTAGACTGTCATTTTTGTACAATTTCAGTCACACTCAAAATGATATTCTAAACTAAGTTAGAAGCCTTGAGGGAGACCTACTTATCTGCTATCTTTTACTCCCACGGAGACAGACAAGAAGTGTGGTTCTGTTTTTTTCTGGCAGTACAATCACGGCTAGGGCAAAGCTGAGAGCAATGTTATATTGCTCTGTTTCTTTCCAGCTTAGTGGCTGTGTGTCTGTGAATGCGTTCAGATGCTGCGGTGAGTTAGCTGCAGCTAACAGATGTGCTCCCATCTGACCTTTCTCTCTGTGCACCTCTTCATTGGAAACTGAAGCTAGAAATCTCTGGGCAACAGAAGAATGAGGAGATCGCTTACCAGTTCTGTTGTGAGAAAAAAGAGACTTGCCTTGGGAAAATTAACTGGCTATCAATTAAAAGAAAAATTACTGATTTGACTGATAAGAAATAATAATAATAATAATAGTGAGCTTTGGGAAAACAATTTTTTTTTTTTTTCTCCCCCTTTCCCATGCTTGATAGTAAAAAAGGTCCTCTGAGGACCTTTCTATTATTGACACAGTTTACACTCAGACCCTTCTGTGATGGAGCAGGCAGTGAAAGATTACGTCCCAGATTCTTTCAGCTGTTCTTTCCCTTGACATGCAGAATCAAACTCCGTAACCCAAGTAAGATTACAAAGCAGGTACTGTTTATTCAGTGCTGTGCAAGATGAGAGCAAGCCCATATGCAACAGCTGTTGATGCAGAAACAAAGAAAAACTGCTTACCCTTAGAATACCTCCAATAGGCAGGAATCTCCAACAAGATACCCATACTGCTGCTGCCAACCCATAAACAAGGTCTAAAAAAGAGTATGACACAACAGAAAGCATAGCAATAATAGCAAAACAGCAAAGCCCAAGGCTTAAGCAAATCATGATTTACCCAAAACCAACAACACCACAAATAAAGACACGACTTACCCTCAAAAGGTCTCATCTACTAAACAACAAAAGATGCCCTCGCCTTTCTCTGATAACCCTTAAATGAGGTCTGGAAGGGGTGGATCCTAGCTCCACTCCTTCCTGTCATTCAGAGACATTGCATGCACCTGAGCTCCACTGGGTTAGCCCTGCTTTCCCACCAGGTGCTCCATCTCTGCTTCAGGCTGTGACTTAGCATTTCTGCTACGCCTAGAAAGTAAAAAAAACACACAGGTAAAAAATATCTGCCAAAGAAACCTCCTTTAAAATTCTATTCCAATTTACCATTTATTTAGGATCCATGGAGTCAACTGCTGCTTAATGAGACAACCAAGACGTTCTAAATCAATGAGTTAATAAGTATTCTTTCCTCTGCAACCAGACATCTAAATTTCGTGCTCGCAAAGATGTGTCCTTTTATCCTGTGGCGTGGGTGCACAAACAAGACCAGTACAAGAGAATGGATGGAAGAATGCAGACGAGAGAAGATTTTGTGAGAATCTAGGCAAAATCCAGTTAAGATAATTAATAGTAGGAAAAGTTCCTCCCTGGAAAAGGTCTAGTTCTTATTTAAAATTAGAATAGTAAAAATGATTCATAATATTGTAAGGTTGCAAATGGAAAGACACGCAATGGAAATGGGCAGTCCTATCTCATTACACGTGTTATTCAAGGAAGGAAAGAAACTGAGCTTAAATCTATGCTTTGCTGCTCACAGTGTTTGCTAGCTGGCAAATACATACTAACCGAACAAAATGTTTAGGGATTTGACATTTGTTGGCAAGGAGAGAGTTCATCATTTGCTTTCCTTGCAGCTGCTCATATTCAGCCAACACACTCCTACTGTGATATCAGTGGTCTGAATGAGGGCCATACCATAACTGACAGTTTAATCTCAGTTAATCTCCGTTGTCTTATTAGCTGAGGCTCCAACTTCCAGAACTGCGTGCTGCTCCTTTCCTAATTTTTTTTTTTTTATTACGGTGCTCTCCTTAAGTTGGTAATTGTAATGTTGTAACTGCAGCAAGAACTCCTTTATTTTTTAACTACTTGGTGTTTATCTGTGTGGAAAAAAAAAAAAAAAACATACACACGATCAGATATTTTGGGTAGCAGTTAGTACTCTTACAATTTCAGTATGTGGAACTACATGGAAGATTTACACTAATGTCTCAAATTTGCTAAACTTTGCTAAAAAGTATTTTTACCTTACAGATGATTTTCTGTATGTGAATGGTGCAGTCTTCTCATTTGACTTGCGAAGCTAATGTGATGTGAGGATAAGTTGTTCAGAGAAATAGCAAACTGTAAGTGCTGAGGCTCCTAGGGAAATCTGATTTGAGTCCTTGATTTGCCATTGGCTTGTATTTGTTTTGTCACCTTGAGACAGATCTCTTAGATCTTTGCAGAGTGACATCTTAGTGACAAGTACATCAGGTGCTTCAATATTGCTCTAATGGAAAACATGTGATTGCCTACAGTGGTCATTCCCCTCTCCCTGCAACAGGCCACACCTGTTCCAGGAAGGTCAGTTTCCTATCTGAATAGATGAGCTGTATTTCATCAGCTGACAAGTAATATTCAGCCTATTTCAACACTGGTGCTTAGCCTGAAGCAACATAAAATCCCTTACCCCTTTGTGCTTCTTGGTGTATATTTTTGACAGACTTACTTCGACTAACATTCAAGTCTGAGTAGGATTGTTTTCTGGTTCTTGTGTTGCTGTTGTTGTTTTGTGTGGGAGGATACGTTTGGTTGGTTTAAGACACTTCTGCAATTTTAGAGATAATTACTTGTGGATTTAGTGTTCAAAGTTAGCTGGATTCTTTTATCTCTAAGCTTTCCATTTGGGATTTATTCCACAAACTCTCTGGCATTTTCCACAATGTACTGCCAGACTTGATTTTTTTATATATATATATATCTCTTTATATAACTTCTTTAGGAAGTTCCACACAAATGTGTGCAAGAACTTCTTTACAGTGAGGGTGACGGAGCACTAGAACAGGCTGCCCAGGGAGGTGGTGGAGTCTCCTTCTCTGGAGATGTTCAAGACCTGCCTGGACGCCTACCTGTGCGACCTGCTGTAGGGAACCTGCTTTGGCAGGGGGGTTGGACTCGATGATCTCTGGAGGTCCCTTCCAACCCCTACAATTCTGTGATTCTGTGGTATGTTTACCTGTGCTATCATCTTGTTTTCCAGTTCTTTTTGGTATAGAACAAAAGCTTGAAAACATATGCATTAAGCAGGTGGTGGCAGACCTGAAACTGTCCTTGTCAGGAGAGATCTAAAGATAACACGGTGACAAACTCCTAGGGCACAGTGGTTGGTAGCAAGCAAGAAGTGTCCATGCTGACTCAATGAAGTCCAAGAGCTAAACTATTTCTTATTCTGTTTCTAGCTCCTGGTCTGAAAGGGATAAATTAAAAGATCCTGGGTGTTGGTTACGGTATGGGGTAATCCATACCATATCGCAAAAATCTTGGGAGTTGTTGGTGCTTAATCTGCCTTTAACAAAGCCTGACAGATTAGTTGTCTGGACTGGCTGCTGGAGCCTTGGTGATGATTTCTGCTTCTAAAACAAGGGGAAAATAGGCCTGCAGCTGGGAATGTTCACTGAAATTCAAATCCGTGAGACATTCAAACAGAAATCCACCTTTGATCTGTACCCTCTGTGTTCTAGGCTATGTGCAATCAGACTAGTTTTAATTCCCATAACAACGGTTTGCTTGGGACTCGAGCAAGATCCATGCCAGGACTGAGATCAGATGCAGGACCTACCTACTCTCTGGGGTAGGCTGGTGTTCAGGAACACTTGGTCTGGAGAAGTTCCCCCCCTGTAGAGTGTAATGTTGTGCACAGCGCCGCAGCTTTTTAATGACCATGCACAGAATGAGAATGTCTGTTTCTTCACTGAGCTCCCCTGCATTGCAGGTTTATGAGGTGGTATGTGGATCACTATCAGCTCAGATGTGCCTGTTGCCACACTGTAGACATGGCCTCAAGTACCTAACAGTCACCTTAAGCACATCAGGCAGAAGTATAGGCCTCTGAAACCTGCTGTGTGTCTGAAGATGTTCATGGCAGCAAGTGAGCACCTCTCTTTCAGCCACGTGTGTCAGAACTGTTACGGAAGACACTGCCTGCCTTTGCTGAAAGCAGTTATTCTGACTTAGCTCATAAGGCACCTGTTCAAACCCAACAAAGTTGCTTTTACCATCAGGGATACTGAAACTTGGCTCTACTCTTAATGAACAGCCAATACCTGAAGCAGACACAGGACTTCCTTAGGTTAGTGCTTTAAATAGCAGTCCAGCCATGCGGCAGTCTTAGTTCTCTCTTTCATTCACTTCATTATTTGCTAATAGCAGGACAGCAGCTTCAGAAGGATTCCTGCCATGGAATAACCGAAAAAGGTCTCATTTAAAAAAAGGTGATGTTGGTTAAACTTTTGTCTGGGTGCTAGTAGGGTTGAATATTGAATCTTTGAGTACTAAACTTGCCTCCCATCTCTTTGCCAGTCTGCCTTCATGCGAAAGGATCTGTGTAGGCAGTGAATTTGAGATAATGGGTATGTTTGAATTCCGTTTGGAGCAGGATACCATGTTCATTGAGAGATGTCAAGAATTTTCTTGACATTTCCCATTAGGTAAGCCAGCTCTCTGCTGATGGCTTTTGTCAGTGTCATTCCTATGAACTGCTCAAGCACAGAACTCTTGACAGGGCTGCAAGGCATGCGGTTAGAAACTGACACCCTGCCCCCTTGTTTTTTTCTTTGTAAATCTGCCTCCCCTTTTATGTTCTGCTAAGATGTTTTCCCTGTCTGAATCACATCACTCTTAGTAGAAAAAGGACTTTTTCTGTCTAAGAGGACTATGGGAGGGAAGAGACAGCAGTATCAAAAGCAACACAAATTTGATAAATGGTCAATATCCTGGAGTTATTTGTAGCTTGTCTAGGTGAAAGCCAAGCATGAAATCAATTGAGATAACATGTGAAATAGAGATTTATCTGGAATACGGAATGTGTTTTTTTTATGCAAGTGTTTCTATTCACACTTCTCTCTACTTTTGAGCAAGGCCATATGTAATATTGTGTTACTAACATATTTTTTCATAGGGCTGATATACTGACATGGGAGAAGATATGAGAAACGTCTAATTAATACTGCTGGAATAGCATTTTAGGTAAAGGCAGACTTGCAGTGGTTCTCAACTGTAGGATTTCTATGATGTTTAGCGAAGTATGCCAGGCAATGTCCAGGTCATAATAGCTCACTTCTCCGAACTTATTTTCTGAGAGGCCACTGTTGAGCATTCTGAGCTGTGGAGAGAAGTTTATTCTCCGGGAGTGAGCAACTCTGTGCTGGAAGGAAATGGCAAGCTAACAAGCCAGAGCTGCTTCTCTGTGTGCTTGAGTCCTGCTATATATGCAAATCTGCCTTCTGTTATTCTATCTGCTTTCTCAGCCAAGTCACTTTGAGATCAGAAATCTGCATAGCTTGAGATCTCCAGGTAGCTAAAGAAAGAGTTTAGGATAAGAAATGTAAGTGCTGTAATGTTCCTTCTTAGGCTAACTTACCGGAAGTGCACTGGTAGTAGTGAGATGGGTAATGCCCCTAAACCCTATTATATGCTTGAGGCAGCAGGTGAACACAAAATGCAGAGGCATATTTGCATAGGTAAGTGGAGATGGATCTGAGTTGATACTGCCTCTGTGCTGAGCTGGGATGTTACTTGGTTTAAAAGTCATATAAGCATGTCAGCTACTACTCAGCTTAAGCTGATAATTTACGCTGGGAGAATTGGTACAGCTATGAGAATTAATTGAATTTTCCTCATTTTATGTTAAATGTTATCTTCATTTCTTGTCCATCTTTTGTTACAGTGTTCATGTCTCAAACTGTCCCTCTTTTTGTCTTTTTGCAATATACTTTTTGAAGTTCCAGGAGAGCCGATTGAGACTGGCCAAAGAGATATTCCGTATCATACATCATGTGGAAGAAGTTTTGAAGGGGGGTGGGAGTTTATCTCTGTCTTCTGCTGCTCAGGGGCTAGTTGGAGCATTGGTCAGGAGGTAGCGAGCAATTGCTTATGCATCACTTGTTGCGTATATTCATTTTTATATATATAAATTCATATTTGCTTTTCATTTACTTTATCCTAGTAAATAGGTTCATCTTAACTCATGAGTTTTACTTTTTTTTTTTTTTCCTGGTTCTATTCCCCATCCCAGTGGAATGTGATGTGTGTGAGTGACTGGAAGGTTCTTAGCCACCTGCCAGGCTAAACAACAATTGCCCAGCAATATTCTTCAAATTGAAATCACTGATCTTGTGTAAACAGGTAGCTCTGATTCTTAATCGCTTGAATTGTGATTGTTGTGCAACCTCTGCAGCGTCCTTTCACTATTGCAAATTCAGCAGTATGTTTCTGGGTTTTAGTTTCTAGATTTGGGCAACCTCTCGGGATCAAGTAGTTTGCAGGTTTTTGGTTGTTTTTTTTTGGGGGGGGGTGTGGAGGGGGGTGGCGGCAGCATCTGCCTGCCACTCTGTGAGGGGAGAAGCCAAGCAAATGCAGGAGGTGCTTCTAGATAGGTGGCTTCTTCTTATGTTAGTTAACTCTAGATATGCAGAGAGAGTAACTTCAGCATCAACAAGCTGCTTGTAAACATGTGGGAGAGAATGGTGTTTTTCACCTTGAACTTTTAATAATTCATGAAGGCTGAACTGGGCTTCTTATTAAGAATCTCAGCAGTACCTTATTATTGGAAGTGCAAACAAATTATTGTGAGGGGCACCAGTCTGACCATCTGACCTGCTACTAAGAAGGAGCATAACATGGTGAACAGTTTACTCTGTTTGTAGAAGAGAATATTGATCTGACATGTGGCACGGAGGCAGGATATTAAGGTGGTTGAAGTAATGGAGTTGCAGGTTGCTCACTGTTGCAGTGATAACATAGAACTGATATTCATTAGAGGGTTTTTTGATCTCGTGCTAAGGAAGAAACAGCATCAAGTTTCCTAGCCTCCTTTCTGATTCAAAGCTTCTGTAGTACTGTTGTCCTATGCAGCCTGTGGGTAGTGAATTCTTACACTGTGAAGTAATCCTACTTATTGAAAACAAGTATACAGTTATCTGATATACATGTGAGAAATACAGGATGTAGCTGGTTTAAGTTGCCATGTTGTGGTTGTTTTTTTTTTGTTCGCATGATTTGCTGTTTCTTAGGCTTTTTGTGAGCCTTGTGGGAAAGGGTCATAACAGTTAACAGGGGACTGTTATTGAGTAGGGAGAGAATTGCTTGCTGAAGGAAAGGAATAAATGAATTTGCAGTACTACTACTGCATCTTCAGTGCTGTTGTTACACAGGTTACCTGTTTGGTCTGTTTGTTGTTTTGAACCCACTTTTTGGTACTTCAGCTTCATTTTGCATCTGTATACATAGAAATGCTTGTCTTCATTGTTGCAACTGAAAAGAGATTTTGTAACTTCTCTTCCTCTTGTTGCCCTTTTTCCTCATAGGCAGTCAGAAATTCATAGTTTCCATTAAACTTAGGGGTGAAAATGGTCCTTTCTGATGACAGCTGTGGATCTAATCTTCCAGCCAGCTGTTGAACTAAGTGGTGAGCTTTCAGGACAGTGTCTCTGACAAAAATGTAAAAATGGCAGACATCAAATGCTGTGTGCATAGGGAAAGGGCTGTCAGCTGGCAGGCTTCAGCTGAAGGCAGTTGATCCACTTCTTGTCTGGATTAAACATTGGAAGCTGCTGCCTAAATTTATAAAATGGAAAGAAACAATGCATGCATACCCTGAATGGTTTTTGGAGTTCTTCTGAGAAGATCTAGGGTATAGACAAACATTTTTGGAGTTATTCCATTGAAGCTCTGGAATGTTCAGACAGATGTCCAGAAAAGTGCCCTTTTTACTTTTTCACTTTGCATCGCATACCAGTTTTCCTCTCAAATTGATTTGGATCAAAACTTAAAGCAGCCTTCCAGTACCTGAAGGGGGCCTACAGGAAAGCTGGGGAGGGACTTTTGATAAGGGTGTGCAGTGACAGGAGGAGAGGAAATAATAGCTTTAAACTGGAAGAGGACAGATTTAGACTAGAAATTGGAATGAAATTCTTTACTGTAAGGGTTGTGAGGCACTGGAACATGTTGCTCAGTGAGGCTGTGAATGTTCCCTCCCTGGAAGCATTCAAAGCCAGGCTGAGCATCCTGGTCTAAAGGGAAGTGTCCCTGGCTATAGTGGGGGCTTAAAACAAAACAAAACAAAACAAAGTCCCTTTCAACCCAAATGATTCTGTGATTCCATGAATATTCTTAGCTTTCGTAAGTGTGGGTGATGGTTTTTAGAATCTTAAATTGTACTTTTTTCAAGTGCATTTTCTTAGATATTAGATCCATCTCTAGGTAAGGAATGTTGTTGCCCCTAAAGTGCAATGTGTTACTTGGATATATAAAATGAAGACTATGGCAGGCATTGCAGACTTTATTATTTTTATACAAAAAAACAGTGATTACTGTAGTCAAATCTCCCTTGAACATCAGAAGCAGAGAGTCTCCTTCTACTGTATGTAATTTATTTTTGGTGGCGTTAGTCAAAGTTCTGCATTTAGGAAAGAAAGCAATTGTGAAGCAGGTTGTAGGTTCAACATTCACCCCATAGGAAGAGCAAATGTTTATTAACCAGGAAGATACTACAGGGTCAGACTGCCTAGACTGCAGGCAGTCCAGCCTACAATATAGTGGGAAACACAGGTCAAGGCAGTAAGTAAAGGGACTGCTGCCTACCTTCCTTGCCTGTGGCAGAGGGAATTATGGTGGCTAAGCAGCCTTCAGGCCTGTGCTGCTTTAATCTGTATTTAACAGGGTTCACTGGTCCCTTTGATTTCACTCCTGCCTGTTCTGTGAACCTGGCCTTTCAGCTGTCTGGGAATGCTGAAGGAAACAGACAAGAGCAATATGCAGTTAATTGTACTGACTCTGCTGCATTCCCATGCCGGCAAGGTGATCCCTTGATCTTCTCAGGCAAGCCCTATGTTTTCTTCTACCTGGAGTCACTGGTTTATGGGACTGAGCTATTATCTGTATTGTGGTGGTGTTTTGATAGTGTAGAAAAGGCATCACGGTGGTCATCAGCCTTTCTCACTGTTTTTTTTTTTTCTAGTTCACAGCACATGAAACAGAAGTGTATTACCCATTAAGCTTGAAGGCTGGCACTGCAACTTCCTTCATTAGTTCCTACTAGGGCTCCCTTTCTTCCTGACCAGTGTCTACAGTGGACAGTTTACCTAATGCTCCCTGAAGTATAGTATAATACCCTAATCTCATCAAATTGAGATGTTATGTTTGTTATAGCCATACCGTGGCATGGGATTCAGCAGGTCTTACTCCAGCGAAACTCCTGCTTAATTCTGTGATTCCACAATGGCAGCAGCAGGCCTGATTACTTAAGAGCTGAAAATGGACTGTGAGAATTACAGTGTTTTTTTGGTGTGTCATGAAGCTCGCCACAGTTTTTAGACACAGCGTTCTTAAGACTCACTGTCTAAAGGAATTTCTGTTATTTCCTTCTTTTTCCTGATACGCACTTGTAGTCTCTTTTGAAATAAGCTTGACTCTCACATACATTTGTTTAGGTGTGGTGTATCTCCTTGGGAGGAGTGGAAAAGAGTAACTGAGCTTTTGAACACATGTACCTCCTCCTCCCTTAGTGTAGATCTTTCATTGTATTAGGAAATGAGTAGCAGTATTGCCAGTATGAAAAGTGAAGATGTGTTATTTGACCTTTTAGAAAAGCATGATGCTCGTCCCTCTTTATCAGGGGTGGACTGGGCACGCCAAAATTGGCATAATTTGCAGAGTGTTTCGGACCGCATTAGTGTCTTACAGAATGAGGCTCATACACGAGCTGGAAAAGGAAAGGTGTTTATTTGTGCCGTACTCGGGGCTGCTTTAAAAGCTGCCGTGGAGTTCCGAAATGAAAAGCGTTCGGCAGAACTCCAAACCATAGAAACACTACAGGAATCGGTTAGAGATACACAAGAATTGGTAAAAACTCTGCAGAATCAAATAGTTAATCTCGAGGAACAACTAGAAAGAGATGCTACTACTAGAACTGATGCTCCCCTACACACATCCCCTCCCTTCTCAAACTGCACACGCTCTCAACAACAGAAAAGGCTACCTGGTTGATCACTGTTCCTTAGAAACCTCTTCACTTCCTCTTGCTTGCAGATGACCTCTCACACAAGCCATTCCCTCACCTTTCCAGGGAAGGAGGTGAGGCTGCTAGCCCTGTAGTTGTGTGAGCCGTCCTTCTCATTCTTTCTGAACTCCTCAGGGATGTTGGTTATCCTGCAGTCCTCTGGCTCCTTTCCTACAGGAAACACCACAAGTAATAGGATAGAGAACCATTTTAAAATTGCTTCAGCCAACTCACTCGGTATGCAAAGGTGAATCCTCAACTCCTCTGCCACCCAGCTGCCACCCTCCTGGCTGCCCATGGCCCTCCAGTCCCCAACTGGCCTTTCCTCAGTAAGGAGGACGAGCTATGGCAGTGGTCCTCCATCTTCTGCAGCAGAAGTTGTCCTTGATGCATCGCTGGAACTTCCTGCAAAGAGAAATCTCTGTTTTCCTAACAAACAGGAGAGAGGCTCTGGTCTGCTATGAGAACTGATGCTCTCAGCTGTGTGCAAACAGCTTCATGTACTTCTTGATCCTGCTCTGTAAAAAACTCCCCCGATGAGTTTACCTACCACATGCACCTTCCTCCCCAGCACTCCAGCGATTCTTCATCGCTCCCGGTTCTCTCACCAAATGCTGCCATAGTTGCTGGTCTCCTTTTCAGAGAAATACAGCCTGCCATCCAAAACAGCATTCCAGTTTTGAAAGCTGTCCCGCTGTGTCTCCACAATGCAAGTGAGATGACACACCTGAAGTTACACAAAGGAAGGGAGGAAATACACACTCCAATGCCGCAAGCAGGAGGGCCTGAAGCACCCGAAAAGCCCTCCTGGGGCACTGAGTGTCACGCTGTCCCAGGGTCACACTCAGTCTCAGCACTTCCGAGAAGCCATGTGGGAGCCCAGCAGCGGCACTGGTGCCGAGCTCATTGCGAAGAAATGGAGGCTGTCGAGCGGCAGTCCAACGCGATTTCTAAGAAATCTCACCAGGGGGCTCAGAAACACTCATCATTTCCATCGTCTCGCTTGTTCAAGCAGAAGAAGCTCCGCTGCAACCTCTGCACAGCCTGCAATCAGAGAAAGCTTTTGTTTCAGCAGTTTGTGGCTTTGCTTCTGACTCCCAGCACCACCAAGGCTGCAGATGTGGCCCCATCTGCCTTGTCATCCGCCTTGTTCCCACTAATGAGAACAGGAGGAACCGAGACACCTGCTAAAAAGCTGTGGGGACTGGGGCCCTAGACAAACTGGACCTGAGACAAACTATCCCACCACTCAACTCAAAAGAACAACCCAGGCAGCCCTGCACACATTCACAGATTGTGGGGCCTGTGCTTCTCCCCTTCGGCTCAAACAACACCAACTCCAATTAAAGAAAACAACCCTTTGCATCAACTCCACACTACAAATATCCAACCGCTAAGGAAAATTGAACAAGCAGACACAGCAAGCAAATCAAACCAATCGAGACCTCAACTTGTCTCTACACAAGCCACAGCTTCAACCAGCCTCCAACAGAAAACCAAGATACAGGAGCCCCGGGGAAGTACATACCACATACTGACATAGGGATGAGGAGGTCTACCACAGCCAAGGAACCACCTGCAACGCACAAGTCATGCCTACCTGTTGAACCTCCTCTGCTTCTTCTGCAGCTCGCAACCAAGGATGCAGACCTCACTCCTCAGACACCAGCTGCGCAGGAACCTGAGGAAAGAGAAACAGCTCTAAAGTGCTGGACCTCAGAGACAATGGCCCCGGGACCCCAGACTCCTGCAGGTAGCGCTGCTCGCCTCCCCTGCTCCAGAAGCAGACCTGCCACGCTCCAAACATGAAACCAAGACAAACCATCACACGCAAAGGACCTGTACTCTGGCACCCAGCCAGAAACTCCTGACTCACCCCAGGGATGGAACAAAAGGATGTGGCTTACCTTGCTCCACAGAGGCACCGGAGTCTCGCTGTCAGAGTCCCTGCACTGGCCTTAAACCTGCAAGCACAGTTCTATCAGTTCTATTGAGCACGTTCAAGGGGCTGCCATGGAGGACGGCCCTCAGGTCCAAAAGCTCATTCCCCCAGGCCACGCTCTGCTGCTGAAACCTCTCATATCTTTGGACCAACCACCCTGCAATGAGATAAATTGTCCAGTCCCTCTTTGCTAAAGTCCATCACCCATGAAACCAACCCCAAACAGACCCAGAAAAGGGGACTCAGCAGCCTATTTCATCACTGGTGGTGAAATGATCCCTCCTTCTATTTTCATAGAACTTCTGATGTGCAGCAAACACTGCATACCTCCCATCAGCATGCAAACAAGACTCCTGTGCTTAAGATATTCACTAATTGTACTGACATACCCCCTGCAACATCTAACAGTGCAACACAGAAGGCTACCCAGTTGATCCGGCCGCCTTTCCCCTTGTGGAATCCACTGTGACCATTCCTTTACGGTTTCTTCTCTTCCGCTGACTTAGAGATGATATCTTAAACAACCTGTTCCCTCACCTTTCCAGGGAAGGAGGTGAGGCTGATTGGCCTTACTGCCCTTTTTGGAGATAGTGGTGATGTTGGCCATCTTTTCTGTAAGAGAGAGCATAGAGAATGTGATACAGAGCTACCTAGCAACTGCTTCTGCCAGCTCCCTCCGCACGCACAGTACATCCCCGGTTAGGGCCCAGGTACTTACAGACATGGATTTTACCTAAATCATCTTTGACCAGCTACTCCGCAATCGAGACAGGGTCACCCCTCCTCAAAGACTCCTCCCCACCAGATCCGGGATTCTGAAGGAGCCGCCTCAGCAGTGACCCCTGAAACCGAGAAGGCATTGGACACCGCAGCATTCTCCTGTCCTCTGTTAACAGGGCCTCTGCATCATAAGCAGGCACGCTGCTATTTTCCCCTTGATCTTATTTCTATTGTTGCTAAACTTGTGAACTCCTGTTAGCCTTGACTTCTCTTCCCAAAAGTGATTCCCAAGAGGGCCTTAGCCTTCCTCACCCCATCTATTCCTCCTCCTCCCCTTTGATTTTGCCCGCACAGGTCTCCTGCTAACTCTGCTGTTTCTTACTTTTAGAGATACACCTCCTCTGAACACAGTGGAAGTAACACCTGAGCATCAAGAAATGCTTGAGGACCTCTCCCAGTGCTCTAACCTAACAGACAACACCAATTAAGTCCTTTAAGAGGAGGAATTCTGCTCCTTCCAAGACCCGTGCATCATTCCTACTTGTTGCTTTGCAGCTGCTGCACTCCAGGCCTCCCCTGGTCTTCTTGTCTCCAGCTGGCCCTTCCTCAGTAGGGAGGACAAGCTTCGGCAGCACCCTTCTCCTCATTGGCTTCTCTGCCACCTGCAGAGAACTAACACACACAGTTCTGAGGTTACTTTCAGCTGCATGCATAAGGTCTCATTGGCTTCCTCATCCCCACCTGTCCCCAAAACCCCCAGTGACATTACCCACATTTACTGCCTCTTGAGCCTCACCCAGCAGCACACCCCTGGTTCTTCATCTGTTCCCAGGCACATCTCAATATGTTCCAATTAGCTCACCGGAAGAGCAACTCCACCACCTCACTGCTCTGTCTTCCCTACTGATAAAAAAAAAAAAAAAACCTACAAACAAAACACAGAGCATAGCCATCCACAACAGCATTCCAGTTGTGCAAGCTGTTCCACCGTGACTCCACTATGAGAATGAGATGACGCTCCTGAAGTTATCCATAAGGGGCGGGGGGAGGTTGAAGTAATCCACGGTCTCTCACTCAGTGCTGAAAGCGGGAGGGACCGAATCATTGGCAACATCCTTCGGGGTGGAGGGGAGGGGAAGCTGAGGCCGGCCCACGGTCGTGCTCTGTCTCGGGCGGTTCGGCAAAGGAGGCTCCGTGCTGATCTCAAAGGAAAAAAAAAAAAAAAAAAACGGCGAGCAGCGGCCCCAGGAACAGATGACTTACCTGGCGACTCCCAGACACTCGCCGGTTCGAGCGGACAAGCCGCTTTGCTGCAGCCCTCGCTCAGCCTGCAATAGAAAAAAGCTCACGTTTTAGCAGCCCTTGGCGTTGCTTCTTACTCCCAGCACCGCCGAGGCCGCAGGAATACGGCCTCGTCCCGCTCGTTCCCATCGATGAGAGCAGCAGAAACTGAACCGCTCTCTACAAAGCCCTGGAAAGGCTGAAAACATTCCACGGCTACGCTAGGAGTCGGGGAACCGCGCGGCGGCCCCCCCGAAAGTAGACAGCAGCCGAGCGGAGACGAAGAAAAGCCCGGGGAGCCCGGCGGGAGCTCCGCGCCAGCCCCGAACGGAGCGCGGCGAGAACGGGACGGCCTCTTGCTGCGGGCGGACGGTCCCGAACGCCTCCAGAGCGCTCGCCTCCTCCGCGGTCCCGTTGCTACCGGAACGGCTCACCGATTAGGGCTGAATCTCTCTTCAGGAGAGACCTCCCTCCAGCCTGAAACGAAACAGCCCAACAGAGAACATCGCATAGAATCCCGAGGTCTCGCGTTAAAAGCAGCCCCTCGTACCGCTATTCCACCCCAACGGCGCAAGGACCGAACGAAGGACCGCCGACCACTCCCGCACGCAGCGAACCGCAGCAGCTCTCTCGCAGCTCCTTGCGGCCTCCGGCGGAGCTTAAGAGGCGTCGGGGCGGCCCCGCCCCGGGATGCCGACGGGGCGCACCTGGGGTCGGCCGACATTCCAAGAGAATCTTAAGCGCTGAAAAAGGCAAAGAACGAGCTGCAGGCACTGGCAGACAAACTGAGATATAATAATAAGACTAACAATACAGAAAGATAACCATCATTTCTACAGTTAATACCCGCATTGACTAAGCCCCGAAAAGATGTACAATTGGGTTGATTGGCACGTTTCTAACAGGCTAATTGTGAACGATGTTCTCAAATAACACAAGAAAGATACATCATAAGTTAGACAGACTACACAGCTCATAGCTGACCTTATCAAATCCAGGCATGTCGATATAGAAATAAAACTGTTTGCCTATTCTGCTTAAACCCCAGTAGGTATTACCCCTTTCCCAAGAAATAAAATTCCTGCACCTTAGATACCATTTGTCACAGGATGTAACGAGCACAAGGCCAAACATTACACACACAGAAATATTTATCAGACAGGTAAATTTATTTTAAAAAACAGTAATGGCTCAGAAGCACTCACAGTGCTGAAGCAGAATATCATTCATCATAAAAAAAAAAAAAAAAGCAGGAAATTGAAGTGGTTTTTTTCCCCCCTCCTTCTTCTGACTAGAATTTCAAAAGCAGATTTTAGCTTTGGGCTTTTTGGGCTGCAAGGGCACAGTGCTGGCTCAAGTCCAGCTTCCCAACCACCAGTACCCCAAAGTCCTTTCGGGCAGGGCTGTGCTCAATCCTTCCGTCCCCCAGCTTGTATCCATAGTGGGAATTGCTGAACCTTGGGGACCCATGTGCAGGAACCTGAAATTGGATTTGTCGAGGTCCTACAGAGCCCATGGCTTGAGGTTGTCTAGGACTCTCTGGATTACATACTGTCCTTCAAACCTGTTCACAGCATTAGACAGCGTGGTGCCATCTGCAAACTTGCTGAGGGCAAGAGTGATCCCACTCTTGATGCTGATGAACATATTAGAGACCGTTAGTTCCAGTACTGACCACTGAGGGACGTCACTCACCACTGACCTGCTTCCAAACATTGACTCACTTTCCTCATTCAACAAATGATCCAGCCATCAAATCCTTATCTTAGGGATTTGGAGAGAAGGAGGCTGCAGAGGACCGTGTAAAAAGCCTTACCAAAATTCAGATAGTTGACATCAGCAGCTCTTCCCTGGCCCATTTACTCCATCATAGGAAAAAAAAAGCCAGTAGGTTGTTCAGACAGGATCTGCACTCACTGAAGCCATGCTAGTTGTCTTATATCACCTTCCTCTCTTCCACATGCCCTAGCACAGATGGCAGGAGAATCTGTTCCAAACTCTCCTCCAGCACAGAGGTGAGGCTGACAGATCTCTGACAAGAGCATCATAAGTTTGTCAAGGCATACTGAAGCAGTAAGGCTTCATCAGCAGAAGTAACAGTGCTTGACAGATAAACAGTTTTTTTGCATTCTTAAAAAAAAAAAAAAAAAAAAAAAAAAAAAAAAAGTGAAGTGCTGAAGGAAGTTAACATTCCTGCACATCTCTCAAAGGGGCTAAGAGTTAAACAAATGTGATAGAAAAAATTTCAGAGTCAGTACTTGCATATATTAACCATATTGCTGCATCTTAGATCATGACATTTGCTTAAACAACACATCAAAATTGCAGAACTGTACATAAACACTAAGGAGAACATCACCTTAGCATTAAAAAGAAATGGTGACATAGTTCCAACTGGTAGTGACTTCCAGCTGCTCAGAATACCTGGACACACAGCAATGCTCCATGCTTGCAGGAACCCTGCAAAAAGCAATGGCTCCAACTGAATTTCAAAGACATTAATTTCACTCTTCTCCTCAGAAAGGGGCACTGGATGTGCTTGAAAAGGCCATCCCATTTTGAGCACTGTAAGGAGCACTTTGTACAACAAGGCTATGAAAGGCAGAAAATTCACTAACAGTTCCACACAATTAAGGACAAAATTAAAGAAAATCTTTCCAAGCTGGATGACAAAAAAGCCAACAAAAATGAATAAAAAACACACCATGAATCCACTACCAGAAGATCCAATTACATAGCTAGTTATTAACTCAAAGACCTTGCTTTTTTTTTTTTTTTTTTTTTTTTTTTTTTTTTTTTAAATACCTCACCATCTCAAACACATTACTCCAAACTTTAACACGTGAAAGGTGATTCTATTACATATTATCATCACAAGTTGTGTGTGACGTGAAAGTCTTTTAGGATATATTCTCCCTTTCCTAAAGAGATCTCTAAACCTTAGCAAGGAGATATTTCTCTTTCCGAGAGCAAATCAGAATATATGACAGAGGCTCAACAATGAGAAAGTTACAGTATTTTAAGAATCCAGAGACAACATAATTCATTACTGTCCTGTATGCCTTCAAAAGTTTTTTTTTAAACCCACATTTAGGCTTTTTACCACAAAGCTAGGCGAGTGTATCTCAACTATAATTATCATGGAGGTTACATTCACGCAGGAGTGACGTTTTATTCTACAGCAAGCTCTTTGTGAAGAGCTAAGGTAAGACTAACATACCTCGTACCTGTCCATATACACTGCAGGAGGGGATACAATACATTTAAATTAAAAAAAAAAAAAAAAAAAAAAACATTTTTTGCTTGGAAGACAATACTTCAGTGCTTTCGTGTTCTGAAACATTTTCATGACATGGTGCTAGTGAAGTTAATAGCTGTTGTATTATAGCTGGATTTTATTTGGTTTTTCAACAAGCATCATTACGCTGTCACTTTCACACATTTGCCTTGTAGAAGTTATACTGAAATTTTAAGTGTACCTAAGTGAGAATTAAGAAGAAAAATAAATGCCAGAAAACAGACTTCTGATGTTTATGGAATTACCCTAAGGACTTGCATGAATGAGATAACTTTCCATTGAGTGGAAAAAAAAAAAAAGTAACATAGAAGCATTAGAAAACCTCTCCATTTTCACAAAATGGGTTCCATGCTAGTTTGTAAGTGTTTTGGCCCTGTGATTATTTCAATTTTAAAAAAAATACATGAAAAACACTGGTTTGGTGAATGAGATCCTGAGTGCTTCAAATACTCACATCTGATTTGTATTAATAATTGCTTTGGAGCTGTGAAGAACTGCAGTACCTCACCGCATCTGCAAGCAAGATAATGGAGAACACAGAACGAAATAGGATCTAATCACAGTTCATTCTAACACAAATACAATGTCTTCCTCTCTCTGGATAGTAAACATTATCTTCGCACCAAGTACAGGAAAACAGTCAGGCTCAATGTTTCCAACACAAAGTTGAATGGATAGTGATATTAAAAACACTAGCAACTCCATATGTCTTTTCCCTTCCCTTCCTCCCTGGAGCGGGAATTTGGAGGAGCATTTACTCTTCCATTAGAAGGACAATATAAAGCTATTTGTCTCTAAGCTTCTGGTAGCCTAGAGGTGCTGGAAATGAGAGTGCATACTTGCAACACTGCTTTTCTAGAATCTTCCGACTCATTATTTTCACATCATTTTGACCTTATACTTTCATTTGAGTACATTTAACCATGACATAAATGAGGGTCAGCTTACCATTAAAATGCCAGATAGTTTGAGCTCAGAGAGGAAAAATTCTGGATTACTCTAGAAGTCCAGAGAGCAATTTTGTCCCTCTCCTACAGACAATCAGTCAAGCAAAACGAGCATGCGTGGCTCATTAACACCATTTCTCAGAGAAACAGCAAGTTTCTACAGACTTGCTTGAGCACAGTCAGTCTCCAGCAAGACTTCACAAACAAGACTAAAGATTCACAGAGGAACAAACTAAGCAAGCAAAATCATACTGTCTTCACTCTGTTGGTTGAAATTGCACTACTACGAGTACCTACCTTTTCATGTGCAGAGATATCTTGACAGAAGATTCTCAGCTGACCTGGATCTCCTCTAACCTCTCCACCACCTTGAGAAGAGTTCAGGAAAATTTAGTAGACAATAGAAGAAGATTTTGTTAGTTATAAACTTCTGTAAATGCACATCATGCCTCTTACACAAATAATTTACAATAACAAATAAGAACTATTCTCAAGGCAGGGTGTTAAAGAACATTTGAAGAAAATAAAGAAACTTGTTTAAGAACAATTATATAAAGGTTTTCAAATGATGAATATTCATTTCAGTCACCAGCACAAATAGGACAGCTCCTGTTTTCAAAAAGGCTGCAGGATAAAACTCCAGGATATACAGAAAAGCACGTGCAAAAAGAATACATTTACTTTTTAAGTCCTAAGTTACAAGGTTAATACTTAGTCTGTATAAAAGAGGGAGGAGGGCAGCCTGACAGCACTTTCTGCTGTAAAGTATCCAGATAATCTCCCTTTACTGCAGGCAGCATTTGAAGATCTGTTTGCATCCATTTCTGTTAGAGAGAAAAACATGTTTAAACGCATCAGAAAAAGGCAGACAACATCCTTCACTGCTTCTCTAGTACACAGCAGTTCAATCCACTTTTTTCCTCTCATAGCACACTGAGTTTTAATAAATTATCCAAATAGATAAAGATTCAAGCTCTGACTCTACAAACCAGAGAGAAACTTTTTCTTGACAGGAAAACAGAATATTCAAGCTCTTACTTCTTCAGTTTCTCTCTAGAGGCATTGGATTTAACAAAGCATTTACCCATATGGTATTTTTTAATGAGTTACTCAAAGCTTTCTGTGGAGGAGAAGTATAACACAAATGCAATTTGTCTCAGTAACTCACATCAGCCTACTACAAACTGAAGTTCGGTACGCTTCGATATTTGTTCAGCCTTAATGTTGCCTTACGGCTGAAAATAAAGTAAGCTAAACTTACCTAAAACTTAACTCCAATTTTGAATGCAAACTTATAACATGATAGAAAGCACAGCAATGACAAGAGTAGCAAAGGTCTTAAACTACAGCAAGAGAGGACTCATCCAAGCACCACGGCTAGAGACACAGAAACAAAAGAATCTGCTTACCATCAGAAAACCACATAGTTACATAGGGATCTCCAGCAAGATACCTTCACCTCTACTTTCAACCCTTAAATGAGGGCTGGGAAGGGATGGATCCTGGCTCCAGCCCTTCTTGTCACTCAGGTGTATTGTGTACACCTGAGCTCTGCTGGGTTGGCCCTGCCTTCCCACCAGGTGCTCAATCACTGCTTCAGGCCATGAATTAGCATTTCCTCTACACTATTTAATTCCTGTTTTAAACAAAAATGTGGTATAAGAAGTATTTAATGCCTGAGTTCTTGTTGTATTCAGCTTAACTCTCCTTGAAATTAAAGTCTTTATGCCTTTAATCCATAGTATTGCAAATGGAAAATAAGTGTAGTTTTAGTAAGCGAGATGCATACCTGAAATTTTTTTTAGTTATTGCTTTATCTAATAATATAACCTTGCAATACTGTGTTTGCACTCATATGGCTTTTTTGGATTTCTCCTCCACTTCGTTGATGTGTTTAATCAACCTCAATAAATGTCCTAACGCTTGTTATCTTCTTCCTACCATAAGCATTATAGAACTCAAAGCTGGTAGTTCCGCTTTTTACACTCTACGGCCCAATTATCTGAAATAGAACTCCCACGAGGAAGGAGTAAAAGATTTTCCTTTCTAGTTCTTGAACTACATTTATCCAGCTTAATCTCTTGATTCTTTGTATTTGTAGATTGTTTTCTGAAGCGTATGTTTTGTTTCTCGCCATGCCCACAGTCTAGAGCAACACAACTATGTTTTGCAAATTTAATGGTCAGATTTGTTTCCCACACGCTTTAGGTTTTGCTACATACACGTGACAACTGAAGTATATTGAATGATGTAGGCAGGACTAATGAGGCAATTGGAATTAAAGCCCACATTACATCTCTAACTCAACTATATCAAACTTCATTTTGTACTGGAAAAGCATACAGAGCTACATGTACTCTTTAGAAATCTTCACATCAGTAAGTTTTGGGAAGGGCAAGGCAGCTGTGAAATCTATCGGTTTTAATGTTCTGAAGTTCTCCAAGAGAATGGCACCATCTTCTCAATGGAAAAGTTGCCTGAATTCCAGTGGATTTGTGTTAGGATGACAGCGTATGAAAGATACGAGGATAGTCATTCTTGCTTATTTTCAGCCTTTCGTATGTATTTGTATCATTTCAGAAGAACCCTCCAGATTCATGCTACTGATGTGGGGAAACACACTGAATGAGAAAGTTGAGTTAAAAAGTGAGCAATGTACCCGTTACTGAGAAGAAGGGAAAAACTGCTCAGAAAAATCATTATTGCTTTTTAAATACTATCTCTGCCAACTCAGACCACCCCTGGCATTACAACATTAAGAATTACTCTTAACATCCACTCATTTCTCAGCTTGTCTCAGTTTCTGAGTGGACTCTCCCAAGCAATTAAATGCAACAGCGGCGTGAATTATGCTGCAAGTGATGGGGAAAACAAACAAACAAACAAAAAAAAAAGGCTTGGAAATCTGAGTCTGAATTTCCAATACTCCTGATGCCCTCCACAAAATTCATTTATGCAAATAAATAGAACACAAACAGTAAACAGCATTAACAGGAACTCATCCTTCTGCTTTTATTCTTGTAAAAGCCTGTTCTTTTACTTCAAGTGCATGCTGGTATTTGTTTTTCTCACCACAACCCAGTTCAAAACCACACAAAAAAGAGCACATTTCCTTTCAAAACAGGCTAGTGGGATAGTAAAACAGCTTTGCTTTGGTTATTTTTCCAATAAAAATGACAAAACAAATTAAAGATCTTAAATATTATACACTTGACAGCAGAGACACTGTAGTTCAGACAGGTTATCTGATAGCTGCAGAAACCTTCACAAAGCAGAAGAATAAATCATTTGCCTCAGGTCACATCCAAACAGCTAACCCTCTTTGTAAGCATCCCTGACCAAAGGCATCACCACCGAGGGAGTTTCTTCCAGCAGCCAACAACTTTGTCAACAGCTTCTCACCCTGGCTGCTTTTTAGCTCTATAATTAACTGGATGATAAATATAGTTTAAACTATAACAGATAGGTTTTATGTGCAGAGCATTTAGTAACAGTGCCAACTCACAATCAAAAAAAAAAAAGCTTTTGATTTCTATATTTTTAGTGTGCAATTTTATGTATTTTCTGCTATCATAAATGCAGTTGTTTCCTTTAAGCCAAAAACAACAGTATTTACTCTTTGCTGCTTATGTTAGATTTTCTTCCTTTATAGTTTGTTGTAATTTCTATAACTGAAACAAAAAGAAACCTCTTCCGGCTCTTAGAAGCAGAGGGCTGGCTTAGGGAATTAGAGACATCAGAAAGAAAGCAACCTTCAGATTCACCTTTTCTCTGACTTTCATGTTTGGACAGCACAGCTGAACCTCCAAGAGGTGCACTGCTTCCTTCAAATCTTGCCTGAGAAACGAGTCCCACAGCTCCCTGCAAAGTAATTGGTCTAATTACGTGGTAGGAAGGAGCTTCTTTAAATTCCTTAGAAATTAAGACGTGTCATCCGCTTAACATCTTAGCATCTGTTACTGCCTCTTGCACACTTCTCCACTGCATCAGCCTGAAGGACGCTTTCTTGGACATTTCAGAGAAAAACAATTAAAATCCTTGAAACAGAGAAGAAATTGTCCCCTTCTGCAGTGGGATGAAGCATGTAAGGCATTTTGTCCCCTCCTTATTTCTCAGTTTGGTGCACGTTTGTCTGGGTGAGTACAATGATCCCTTTAAATAAGAATATAGCAGGGTACAGCATAACCTTAAATCCTGTGGTAATCCTTACTGATGTGGTAATGTTGTCCTGAAATATTTTCCCTGCCAACTGCTAACCCCTGTGCAATTATTGCCCTCTGTGCTTACATAGATTTGTTTCAGATGGGCTGTTTAGAAGCTAATGGCATCAGTAGGCACACCACTAACCTATTCTTTGTTTTTTGTTTTCTTAAATTCTGCTGTTGTCTGGCAGGAAGTAAGTAACAATTTAATTCTGGCTAATTGCTCATGCAGTAGGCATAATGTTAGGGCAGAATGTGTTCAGAGCATTGGGAGAGGTGCTGAGGCACCGGGAGCTTCAGATCTGCGTGTGCAGCTCAGTGAGACGCGTGTGGGCATTGCCAGGAGGGTTAATGTTTTGCCCAGAGCTGACTGAGACTTCTTAGAGAGGTCCTGCTGCTTGCTTTGGTTCCCTCGATGTTTTTTTACATGCTCTTCTTCTTCGTTGGCTGCTGTGTGAACACAGAGTAGCAGGTAGAAGCGAGTGTATTGAAAGTGCCCGTGCAGATAGAACCCTGAAAGTGCACTGCAGCAATGGATATGTTGTGCCCTCGTAGTATTCCCAACGGAGCTCGTGTTTACTGAGAGTCGGGTAACAGCTACGTAACTGCCACCAATGATGTGTTTTTCTGTGCCTTCTGTTTTAATTGCAGTTCAGGCAAATTATGCCCCCTATTTCTTCGATAATGGAGCCAGGAGCACAAATGGGAACATGGCACTCCTCAGCCTTTCCGAGGACACACCAGTTGGTCAGTATGCAGACACGTATGGTTAAAGTATGGAACTGAAGCCGGTTGGTCTTTTGCTTGGCAACACGCATTTTGTCATAGGTGGTGCTAAACACTGTGGGTTTTCTTCTCAAGCTTTTGATTTACAGCGGCACATCGGGATTGCAGCTGTAGTTTAAAGTGTGACATTTTGCTCCCCTTTCCTCGGTCCATGAGTCTGCTCATAGCATCAGAGCACGGACCTTTGGGATCTTCTCATAGGTGCTCTAAGAGTTTATGAGAGTACAAAATTATCGCTGATAACTTTGTCAGCCCTGATAAGAGCAAGCTGTACATTGCAAAGTGAGAGGCGTGGTTTTCTGTGAAGACTTACAGCGTTCCTCATGTGCAGCACAAATGGTAGAGCACGTTTCTGCTTAGAGTAAGAATTGCTTGGTAACAACAACAGTTTCTTTTGAAACAAGTTCAGTTTCATTTTACTGAAAATTCAAAATTTTACTGAAAATTTTACTGATGCCTTCTCCGACTCTGATCATTTTATGAATGGGTTTATACAGTTCTTTTTAAACTGAAATTGCATTTTAAAAAACAGAATAGAAAAATGGATGATTAATTATCAGAATTTCCCATGGGAAAAAGATGATTTCCTATCATTTAAAAATGTTACATATATTAAATCGCTGTGATGAAGACCTCCAGGCATAGCACTGAGGTTTTCTTTAGGCTTTGCTCATTTGTCTGTAAAGAAAAGCACTCAGCTAATGTCAATGGATTACCAAAGCACCTATTTCCTCTTGCCCTTGTGCACAGAGGAGGGAGATGGCTGCACCCAGCCCCCCCCCCCCCCCCCTTGACAGAGCTTATTCAGTGTTGGAAACAGGGCTGTTGGCAGACTGAGGGCACAGGCTTCCTAGCCATTGCCAGACACTTAGTGCCTGGGGCTTGCTCAAAAATCTCAGTTTCTGGCCCAGAGATCTAGATGCCAGCCAAGATCTACACTGGGCGTGTTTGAAGTGAGGAGGAGATGTCTGGGAGGCAGCAGCTTCTGCTCTTGTTCTTCAACCAGAGAAGCAGAGGAGGAGAAAGCAGCGCGGAACATAGAAGTGACGAACCCAGCAGATGAACGGGCAATGAGCTTGCTTATGATGCAGCAGGGCTTTGCTGTAAGCTCAGCCATACTTAGGTGGAAGCCTCAGCTGAGGGCCTACAGCAGTGTAGCAGCACATGCAGACCAAGAAGCTTAGATTTGTGTTGTGCCTTTGCCCAGAGATGCCTGGAAACCACACTAACCCTCAGCAATCAGAACAACTCCGCTGGTCGCTGGAGCAAGGCTGACCAGTGGGATTGCTTCCCTGCTCATGTAGATAGTGCCTGTAATGTGAGGTGCTTACTGGAACAAAGTGACACCCAACCCAGTCCATGTGAGTGATGGCTGCCAGCCCCCACTGCTCTGCAGGCAGCGCAGCTCCCTCAGTGCGACTGGACTCTGTCCCTGGCATGCTGCAGGCATGCTGCAGGCCCTTAAGGAGCACTGGCTGCTCCCTGCTGAGCAATCAGCCACCTCCAAGGAGACGGAAGCTGAGGGTGGCACAGTCAGAGGTGTTCCCCCTGGCAGGGCTTCAGTCTGTTCCAGAGGCAGAATTCCCTGTAGCAGTGGTGCTCCAACACAGGGACCTGATGCATCTGGCTGGAGCTGCAGGCAGGCAAAGGAAAGTGTGTGTGGCCCAGACAGCCGTATGGCCACGAGGGGTCAGGGGTTGTGTCTGCTGCCCCATCTACAGTGCTGCTATTGCTCATGACTGATGGCTTTGGCCAAACTGTGTCTACGTTAGCTGGTCTGTACTTGCTATTAGCTTTATAAATGACTTTTTAAAAGTCAAGAGAGAAGCAACTCCCAGCACAGCACATAGTGGGAAGGCCAGAGCCAGGCCACAGCTCAGTGCGAGGACCTCGCACTGCAGGAGAACCTGGAAGAAAGAAGATTCTGGTTTCCCGTGTCCGTGTGCTGTTCTAAACGTCCATATGCAGCCATCTTAGAGTTTTGATCAGGATGATCAGTGATGAAACAGGGGCACTGAGGCTTGTGTATGACTGATTCTGTGTAGCTTCACTCAGGCTTAGTGCTGCAGAAATGCAGGAGCGGGTTGGTATTAAGTCTTCTGTGCACTCACATAAAAGTGAGACTGCAGAGAGGATGCTTTATTTGGCTGGTCCCCAGATGCAGCCAGCATCTGATGGGATCAACATCACAAGCAGCTGCTTTAATCTACCTCCAGAAATGCTTTGGCTCTGCTGAGGTTATGAGCTGTGTGTTAGTTACAGTTCCCAGCATGTGCAGGTGAGGGACATGTAGTATTTCAGAGCACTAAAATGAGGTGATGGTTTGTCCATGCTGCTGCAGGAAGAAATGCTGTAGGTACAAGAATACTCCAAGTTCAACAAAAGCACATTATCATGCTCATGTCATCTTTTACCAGGCTTTCTTTTCCCTTGTGGTATTTTGTCTGCTCATAGGTAGTTGTGGACTGTCAGTTATATACCTTATGATGTCAGTTACCACAAAGAAAGCAATTGGTATTTTGTATGTGACAGCTTAGAATTGCCCGTGTAACTCCAGATTCTTTTGAGAGCTGCAGATCATGAGAGTCTTTGTTGTCAGATGGGCCAGAACAGCAGCCCCTTCCAGTGGCTGATGTAAGAACCATGGCAAAAGGAATGAGCTAAAGTGGCAGCTGCAGTTTGGGCAGTCACACAGTGGGGCAAGTAGGGATGTTTGGTGCTGAGCTTGTGGCAAAGAGTTGCCTGTGTACATACAAGATGTACGTGACCCTAATTAAGGTCTTACAGCGTGTGTGAGATGCTATTTCAGGTTGTTTGCTTCATCTTACCACATTAATCCTGTAAGCCCTTGTAGCAGAACGCTGAGAAGAGATGCAAAACAAGGGATCGAAGCACCCTCATAGGGGCCCGCTTCTGAAAATCCAGGCATTCTCAGTGCTTTGGAGATTTCCGCATGCCTCTCATGTTTGCTTTTCTTCTTTCCTTTTTTCCCCATGCTCCCACATATGTGCACCCTCCCACTGAAAGCAGTTTTCAGCTGCACTTCTTTGTGCTCACAGCTCCAACTCCTCACTGCCTGCCTTTGGCTAGCCGCTTCAGATCTTTCCATCCTTCAAGCTCCCCCCATGTCTCCTGCAGCTCCTTTGCTGTTTTCTGGCATGATCAGCTCCCCTCCCAGGTCAGCCAGGCTGCAGGTGTGAAGCAGCAGCAACAGTAATGGTTGGTGAAGAGCAGGTTTGCCATTGTGGTTTATGGTCCATGTCCTCCAGCAGCTCCTCTTGCCCTGGAGTGAGCTTGCAATCCATAGCCACCTGTGCACTTGGTGCTGATCGCTCGTTGCCTTTCATGGTGAGGCAGGTAGAGAGCGGGTGAAGAAGCCCAGGTGGGATGGCCTGTCCATGCGCGTCCCTCTGTTTGTGTTCTGTACCTCTGTAAGCTGGGTATCTCAGATAAAGCTCCTCAATCACAGCAGGCTGCTATGAGGTAGAAGAAATCTACAGAAATGTGTTTTATGTGTCAGGCTCAGTTATTGATAGTCGTGAAGTGCTTCCAGTTATTTGGATGAAGATATTAATGCACAGAAGAATGACAGACATACAAGCTTAATAAAAAATGATACGAATAAACGCTCACCATCTTATGAAAGTGTGGGTGTCATAACTCCCCCAGAAATCATCACTTCTGATAAGCAAAGCCAGTTTACTGTGAAAACTGGCACTTAGTTCTCAGATGTGTAAAAATAGAAATGACAATCTTTCTTTCCCCAGCGTGTGGAGGAAATGTATTGATGAATTTAGAGAATTTATTCATTGGTATGCGCACAAGTGGATGTGCTAAGTGGAGAGTTTAATGAGAGAGAAGTAATGATGGGAGATAAGCAGGAAGGAAGACTTTTGCTTGTAACTCTGACAGCAAAGAAGTCTGCAAATGTCCCTGTGTCTCCAGAGCCAGGGCCTTGCCCGGTGGAAGCACTGCCTTCAGCCCAGGCTGGTTTGCGTGAGGGCCTTTTGCTGCTGCTGCTGCCAGCAATGTCTCCCAGTCTTACAGCAGCATCGCTTCAGACACACCTGGGTTGATAGTCAGGAATGTGTTATCTGCGTAGACACCATGGTGCAAACAGTACAGCTGCACAGGAAAGGCCCCTAACTGAGGGAAAATGGCACTGGTGAATTCAGTTTAACCATCAGGGTAAAAGCTGGCAGTCGGAACCACTGGACTGCTTACGTGCCTGTACTCTGCAGTAGGTTCAATTCGCAGAAGCTTTGCCTCATGCAGGATGGCTAAGTTCCTAGGAAGCAGGCTGGTGAAATATTCACTGCTGATGTAACCACAGAGAAGTGCTCAGTGGCCGCTTTTTCAGGTGCCCACGTTTATACTCTGAATGGAACTGATCCGGAAGGAGATCCTGTGACGTACGGCCTGACCTACGAGGCTGGATCCAGGCGCTACTTTTCTGTTGATGGGAACCTTGGAAACGTGACGCTGATTGAGGAACTTGACAGAGAGGTAGTGTGCAGTGAGATGCCCTCACTCTGCTTTCGTGAAATTTCCTTGACTTTCAGTTAATCAATGTCTTTGAGGGACAGTGCCAACTTGTTTGTACCTGAGATGTGTCATTTCTAATTTTGAGATGCTATAATTCACCCATCGGGTTGTTTTCCAGTTGACTTGAACCACTGCCACTACTATCACATTTTTTAGCAGCTGAGGGCTTTCTTTTCAGCTTTTGCCAGAACAATTTACTTTTTATTCCTATCTGCCCCCACCTGCAAAGTATTCAGAACAGTCCTTTAATAGTCAGACACAACTGAATTTCTTCAGAACTCTCTGTCACAGGAGGAGGTAGAAATTTACATAAGCGCTGTCTGAGGACACGTTTCTGATTATGTCATGCTCCTTTAACCCTTAACCACGTGGGTTCAAGATGTTCCCTGCAATAATGGACTGAAGGCAACTGCATTCTGGGAGCACAGACATCACCCATCGTGTAGCCCATGCAGTAAAGACAACACAATACTCAGTAAACCTTTCAAACCCTGCACACGAAGGCAGAGTAATTTTGAATTAATAATGGAAGTATTTCTCCAAAAAGATGACTGGTGTTCCACTAGCGCTTCATAATGCAATACGAATTCCCAGAGCAGCTATCTCCCGTCCGCATCTCCAGACAGCCATGGAGCACTTCAGCTGAAGGCTCTGAGGGCTCTCCTTAGCCTCTGCTCTGGCTTTCTTGTATCAGTTGCTGTTTTCTTGTACCTGCTGAGATGTGCAGTTCTTTCTCCAATTAAAGCAAAACCATCTAACAAATATACATTGCTGTTTTACAGAAAGAAGATGAGATTGAAGTTGTTGTCAGTATTTCAGATGGCCTGAGTACAGTAAGTATTAATTCTACTCTAACTTGTCGAACTGCTCACTCTGCAGTTGTGCCTCCTTTCATTATATTACCTTTCAGGGACTATCTCATTTGATCAGAAAACATAATCTCATTAGAGCCTTACCTCCTGCTTCAACAGCCAGCAGTCTTCCAGTAACTCAGGTCTCGCTCCAGCCCTGTGAGGGTAACTGCAGCGTCGTGTGAGCCGAAAGCTTGATTTAGTAGGCTATGAAATAACAGCAGCTACCCCTGAAGTTTCACTGTCAGCTCAGTAGGATGCGTAACTAAGAAAGAGCTGAAGTTTTTGTTTTTGTTTTTTTTTGCAAGAAGTGTAACAGGACTGGAACCAGAATTGGATGTGCAAAAGCTGACTGGCCTCCACCCCCGCAGTGTTTCTCTGGTGTGATGTTAAGAAGATTTGCTGAGGCCAAGGTGGTTCTCTTGTCTGCTGCTGAACACAGCCTTGATCATGTATAATCATTAAGAGCTTATATGAGGCATGAGGCACAAGCACCCAGTCCTAGTTCTACAAATTTCCTTGGCATTTTCAGTTTAAGATAAATGTTCTTGTGGGCAGGATATTAGACTGCCAGTAAGAGAACCTGGGCTTCGTCTCTGGAGGTGCCACAGAAATGTGACCCTCTAACTACCCCCAAAACCAGACAACTCTAGAGATCTTCCTCATCTCAAACAAGGGGAGTGAGATCATCCTATGTTTGGGGTGCAACTACATCCTACAGAGACAATGGCTCTCACCATTTCTGTAAATAGCTACTAAATGGATCGCATCCACGTGCCCACTCTGGAGAAATCTGGGAAGTTCTGCTGATCAAATATATTTTGGTTCCATATTTTTTAAAAAGGCAGGTTGCTCAGGATAGTCTGTTAAATATTGAAAGGGTGTATTCATACATGCAAACTCTGCACGCTGTTGACCCAGTCGGATGATATTGAATAAGATATTAATTAATGCAGTTGGCTGTCAGGTGCCAACTTTTACACGGTCTTTGATGAATTCCCACAAAATGCATCATGGTAGTTTGAATGCCACAAAGAAGAAAAATGACTTTTGTAAGTTAGCCCCAATCTATAACCTATGAAGTGCTTTAAGACTCCTTTTCCACTTTAGAGATACCTGGGTGTTCTCCACACGGCTAGTTATTCTGGCTTTTGTGATTTTTCTGATGTTTTTATTGTTTTTTTTCTTTTATATGCTTAGCTTTGTTAGTGCAAAGACATTGTATTACAATACATCTTTTCATTACCTTTGGCTGCACGTTAGTAGGAAAATGAACAGGTTCACGTAAATCAGCTCCAGTCATAACGTGTTCTTCACATTCCAATCCAGGTTTCAGAGAAAGTGAGGATCCTTGTAACAGATGCTAATGATGAGAGCCCAGAGTTCATCAATACACCTTACATAGTCCAAGTCCCAGAGGTTGGTGAATTTTCTTTGCATACTGTATTACAGTAGAATGTAAAGAGGAGCGAGCTGGTGTGTTTCCAGTAAAGTCACAAGATGTGGAGGACTAACTCGCATTCTTATGGGGTTTGGCCAAAGTCAGTTCGGACTTAAGGCACTCTTTCTCTGTCTCCTTACATGCTCCATTTTCACTTCTTGTAGTTCTGCTGGTTTGCCACTTCTGTCTCACTGTAGTATCTGTTTCTGGTCACAGAACTCTCCTTCTGGCAGCAGTATCTTTAAGATTGAGGCAGTTGACAGAGACACCGGTTCTGGAGGAAGTATCACCTACTTCTTGCAGGTAAAGTATTATCTGTACTTTTAAGACTCATCTCTCATTTAAGATTCAGAGGATTGAGCTGCTACCAGTGTCTATAGGGCCAATTCTGTAGCATGCATAAGAAAATAAGCTTTGGCAAATGGATACTGTCTGCCATGAAGCAGTCAAGCACAGCCTGGCAGGCAGGCGTTGGGGCTGGGGTCGCCACTGTCACTCTGGCACATCACAGCACGGCTCCTGTTGGCCCCTTCTTTGGCCCGATGGGAGAGCAAGTCTAATTTGTAACCCTGTGTGCAGATGGGATATCAAAAGCACGATATAGCTTCCTTCAGAAGGAAAAGTGCATGGAAACCCTGTCTGTACTTGGATGCAGCAGGCTGGTGCAAAATTGAAACCTGTATCGCAGTATAGAGTGCTACCTGTTCTTTCTGATGAAGCCAGTGCCCACTGCAACCAGCCTTCCTGGTGTTGCCCTCTGGGGAAGAACAGATAGCTTTCATATTTGAAGCTGGACTGACGTTTGTGTGCCAAAAGGGCAACTTTTTACACGATGCCCTTCAAATCCACTATTTCTGTAAGCATTTTCCTCCAGATGAGCGGTAGTTTCCCTTATTCAAAAGGCAGTGGAATTAAAAAAAACAAAAACACAAACCAATTTGTTGCAGTATGTACCTTAGATACAGTATGGAGGCGAGTTGGAATATATTTACACAGCATTAAAGGTAATCTGGTTAAGAGCTCAGGCACACTGAGAAAGAACACCTTGTTGAAATTTAGTTTTGATTTCACCAATTATGAGCCAATTAAAATGCAATATGTGCAGGATTCAGTTTTGCACGGGGCTTTTTCCAGTAAGCCAAGAGACTCCAAAGCCAGTAACAGCTATTTCGAGCTTCCAGGTCTAGCTAATATATTTGTGTAACAGAAAGGTTGCTAAATAAGTTTATTTATTAAAAATATGCTGCTGCATCCTTTCACACAATTCTTAAGTTGCTCAGAAACAGCATTCTTGTAAAGTCTGGTGTGGGCAGGCAGTGATGTCACCAAAAGGACGAAGACTGTGTGACAGTGACCATAGATACGGAAAACCAAAGTGTGCAGTTAGGGACTCTCACCAAAAGGGGAGGGAGACATTTTTAGGCCCTTTTGAAAGTCAGATGTCTTTTAGGTGTCAATTCACTACAGAAAAGATTTTGAAAACCCACATTGAAGTAACTGATTTATTCTGAATAACGAAAGGCTCATGGCTGGTTCATGAATTTTTCACAAACACACAGAGGTGAAATTCATCAGATACAGTTTGGGTGAATGATGTATCATTATTCTAGTCTTTTCCTTTAGCAGATGAAATAAAAGATTAATCCCTACGGCAATCTTGTTTCCATACCTGTAATCTTCTGCCTTTTCTCCTTTCATTTTTCTCTAGAACATCCATGCTAATAAGTTTACAATAGACCGTCACAGCGGCGTCCTGCGCATCAAATCGGGGATCACCCTGGACTACGAGAAGTCAAGAACGCATTTTGTTGTCGTGGTAGCCAAGGTACAAAGCTTTCTTCTGCAAGTGGAGGAGGTGAAGGATTGTATTTGAGTAAGGCAGCTTAGGTCAAACAGAAGCATGATTTAAAAGTTTGTTGAGACAGCAGAGTCACTCCCTCTGCCACGTCTGAAGGAATGGAGGGTACCACGGAGAGGTGAGGAGGAAAGCTGGCCAGTGCCTGCTGCTGAGCAACATCTGGAGGGGGCCAGGGGTGAATTCCCCACACTGAGCTCAGGCTCCAGTGCCAGGACAGTGAGCTCCTATGCAGCAAGTCACCCTTACATGTTGAGATGCACTCAGAAGCAAACACTGGTGTATGCAGCCCCAGCTTTGGGACGCATCAGTCCCTTTGGACTCCCCGGTGCTGCTCGGTACACAACCATGTTACAACAGGGGCAGAGCTCTGGAAGAGTCAGAGGAAGTTTCTTTTTTCCATGCCTCCACTGTGTTGTGGCAGGATCTCACACCAATCCCACAAATGCTGCTGCAATTCTTTCCTCCCCGCTGTCACTCTCAGTAGCACGGTGCCTGCAGCATGGCTGAGGATTCATAACAGGCATTAAAAATTCAGACTGAAGTAAAGTCTCCCAGGATCCTGCAGAGAGCTGTCAGGCTGGTGGCCGCATGTGTGGAAGGAGAATAATTTCACTGCTACTTACAGTGGCTTTACGTTTCTTGTTTTGTGAAAAATGTATGGACTTTGTTATTTGTTTATTTAGCCAGGATTCATTTGAAAAGAAATAATAGAACTTGGGTTAAATGCTACTTTTGGGCAGTAAGGAGCAAATCTCTTCCAAAATCCAGAACTTTAAGAACAGCCACAGCAGGTGCCCAGAACAATTCACAGCAGTATGGCCACTGACCTCCAGCCAGTGCTGTGGCTTCCAAAACAGTGAGGCATTTCTGTAGTTGGCATTGCTGTACCACCAGCACAGTGCCAATGGTGGTAAGGTCCCTAGAGATTGTTTATATGCTGTGGCTGTCACACAGCTCCTGGGTTTGTGCTCTACCATGCTTACACTTATGCTACACAAGACTTCAGTCATATTCACCTGTTTGATTTTTCCCTGAAATTGCCTGCATACTTCAGCAGAGGGATCTGACAGCGACTTCTCTTTTAGGATGGCGGTGGGAAGCTGAGGGGAGACAACAAAGTGTTCTCAGCCACAACAACTGTCACCATCAACGTGGAGGATGTTCAGGACACTCCTCCCATGTTCATTGGGACTCCCTACTATGGATACGTCTATGAGGATACGCTTGCAGTAAGTGCTGGTTTTGACCTGCGGAAGTGCAGTCTTTCACGTTTCAGCCAAAATAAACATGTGCTTTGGGCTGCAGCACTATCCTCTCAATATCTCATCTGGGCCAAGGTGAACCTGACACCGAGTAGCGCTTTCTGCTCAGCTAGGCTGAGGAAGGGCCCAGGAAATCCTCCCAGGTCCAAGTGCACCAGAATACTAAGAAAGCAGCGGCATACTGAGGAGAACCACGGACGAGTTGTCCTAAAACTGTGCTTGTTGCTATGCCTATTGCTGAAGATACACCTCCTTATATATCATGGACAGCCTAAGGAATACAGAGATCTCCTGGCTGTGCCACCATCTCAGAAAGTCCTACTGTCAGATCTGCTCAAAAGAGAGCGTAGAGTTTATCCAGTCAGTGTATCATGGCACTTTGACCCATACAGTAGTCTTGATGCTGGTGATGCTTCCAGACACATATCATTCCCAAAGCTGTAAACTCATCAGTTTGAGGTGCAACTCTAAGCAGAGGCACAGTACTGAATAGGGATCAATTTTCACCTTGATACTTGTTTTAATTAAAATTTTCTTCATACATAGGATAAGAAGTGGTAGCTACTTATGAAATACCTAACCTTAGACTATTGTCAGTGTGTTAGTACCCCATTTGCCTCATTCTCCTCCTCAGGGGCAAATGTGTGACAGTACACAGCAGCTCAGTTCATAGGCTGTTACATTTCTGCCGGGCAGAGTAACACTTGCGTTCTTTGCAGATGTTCGGAATGTATGGAACATAGACTTATTCTGAGAGTTACACATAGATCTTGAAATAACTATCAGGTGCACACAAATTAGTATTTACCATGGAACCAGCAACTACCACATACCATCTTGGTAGCAAACTGAAGCGATCAGGTCTCAGATTTGTTACTCCAAATCTGAAGAGAGGGACAAGAGGTTGGGCACTAGGCAAACAGGCACGGTCTCTTCGCAGAAACATTTTTCTCACTGGAAATCAATGAACCTCAGGGGGTTCCCCATGCATCATGAGCAAAAGTACCACCATTCCCCCTATGCCTTACTGCAGAAGGACTCTTTGAAATTCAGTTTATTAATGCACCATTGTCATTTCATTGCTTTTTGATCTCAACACACAAACCATAATTCCCTATTTCACCCCAGGGCTCTGAGGTCCTCACTGTTGTTGCACTTGATGGAGACAGAGGAAAGCCAAACAGTATTCATTACTCCATCGTGAATGGTGAGTAGACTTGGCTTATACGAAATCTGAAGGGAAGTCAAGTCTAGATGTGACATGAAATTAGAAAGAGAAGAGCGTACAGGTTAATAATGCTGTGACAAACTCACATGGAATAGCACCAAATATCTCAAACAACTCCAAGGACATGCCAGCAAAAAGCAAAGTAAGATTCACTGAGTTTCAGTATCTGCTTCGCAGCACTGTGCTTGGAGTTGTTAGTTGTTAGTTGTTAGTTGGAGTTGATTTGTTAAGCATCAGTAGCCTGCTTGTTGCTTAAGAAAACATGAAGGGAGATGCATTCAGTGCCACTGAACATCTCTATAATTTGATCAAGGAAATGAGAAAATGCATTGAGAGACCCAGACATAGCAATAAGAGGACTGTTCTTATTAACATTTTCATTGGGGTTCATAAACTGCCAAGTCTCTGGTTTCTTGGAAGAAATGATATTTACTAGTGAAAACCGTACTGTAAGAAAGTAGATATTATCAAAGCAGTAATGCGTTTCATTAGGTCTACTGAGGGTGTCTGAAGCCTGTCTTTCAATGGCATAAATACAAACCTTACCTGAATTGACAACTCATTAGCAGGTGAAGTCAACTGCTTAGCTCCAAGCTAAATCTTTAGTTTCATTTGGTTCTTTCTTCCTTCAAAACAGGACTTCCACAATAACTGGGCACCCAGACTCCCAGGAGCCCACAGTTTCATGCAAAAAATGCAAAGTTCAGTTGCAGAGCTATTCAGGAAATTCTTCAGTGTGTTACATTGTTTAAAATGCAATGTCTAGAGTGGATGGAAAGGGTTGAAGTTCGGATCTTATCTTGATGTGGGATGGGATCATGCTTAATAAGTACCTTCTCCTCTGATGCAAGAGAATAGGTAGAATAGGGGTTGCAGAATAGGAAAACAGATGAAAAATGAGGAAAGGTAAAAAGAAAGGTGGAGAATGAGGAATGAGAACATAGAAGTGCTACAGAAAGAAGCTAAACAAGGGGAAAAACAGTTGAAGGAAAATATGTGAAGCCAGATGAACCAGGGAAGCTGTCAAAGATACGTGTATGGTGTATGGGGCACACTAAAAAGAGCTTAGCCATTGGGTCAAGGGAGGTGATCCTCCCTCTCTACTCTGCCATGTCTGAAGTACCATGTCCAGCTCTGGTGTCCCCAGTTAAAGACAGAATACTCCTAGAGAGATTCCACACAGGGCCACAAAGATGAGGGACCTGGAACACATCCCATACAAGTGAAGGCTGAGAAAACTGGGACTCTTCTACCTCGAGAGAGAAGGCTGGGGGGGGAGGGGAATCAGCAAATGAGAAATAATTTATTCTAAGACTTTTTTTTTAAATCTAGAGTGTGTAGGATAACTTTAGAAAGTACTCTAACCTTCTAAAAATGCAAAATGGAGGAACATGTGCATTGCTACGTACCATGAGTTATCAGTTTCTCTCCCTAAAAATAGACAATGTGGTATTGTGAATTGAAACTACTATTGACTTCAGCTCTTTCTCAGTCAGGATGTGCTTTCCAGGTCAACGTATGTTAATAATTGACCCCCTAGATGTGTCAATCTGTTCAATGTTGTGTCCAATATACTTTAAAGAAGTTGCAGTTACTACAGGTATTAGCAAAATGGGACTCAATCAGATGGTTTAAAAATAAGTGTTGGAATCAAGTTAGAGAGAAATAAAAATGACTGGGCTTTCAGATGATCATCCTCTTTTCTAAAAGCCTCAAGTTCCTTCATTTTAAGGTTTTTTTCCTCACATCCTTTCAGTGGTAGGCTCTGCAACAAAGCAGAACCTGCGGAGAATCCTATGGGTGAGACTGGGGCACGTAGGGTAGGATGGGTTCCCAGCTGCCGGCCGTTCCCTCTCTGAGCAGGGCAAATTCACCAAGTGGAAAAGAATCAAAGCCCTATAACTGGTTTTCTGTTCGGAAAGATGGAAGTTACACTGCATGGACCAAAGTCAGCCTGCAGCCTCGTCCTGCCTGTGGAGCTGTCTCAACCTCTGTGAAAAGAGCCTAGTCTTTACCCTAGATTCTCCTAAGTCCCCTTTCATGCTGGCGCCTTGCAAGAAAATGAGTGTTGTTTAACAAATTGGGTGTTTAAAGCCAGAAGATGCTTCTCCCAAGACGCTGTTCACAGAAAGAGTGACTGTGCTTCTTTAGGATAAATTGTCAGACTTCTCACCTTAGCTGATATTAGCAAGAGCAATGTTCTTGTTGCTCAGAAGCTTAATTATGTATGCATTTGCTAATTAAAATGAGTAGTGGTTTTTGTTTCTGTTTTTGTTTTTTATCTAAACCAACATGTAAAGGCAGCAGCATAACAGAAAGGAAAACCAAATGTGCAGGCCCGGTTGCTGAGGCTCAAAGGGAACCTTGCCAGCATGGGAGAGAGAAAAGCAAGGGCAGCTGCCTGTGTGGTCAGAGCTCTGCCTAGCTGCACCTAGAAGAGGAAATTCTTGTTGGCCCTCATCTGTGCTCTTATCACACTACAAGCAGGCATAGAAATGCTTCACTTTTTAAAAATAGCCACTGATAGGAGTGGATACACATACAGACAAATATACTAACTGCACGCTTCATTAAGAATATCACGCTGGTTCAAGAAACAGGAAGAACGGCACTTAACTAGACTATCTTGGCTTATTGCAGGAAGTGAAGGTTCTTTTGAAATCAGCAACATCACCGGAGCCATTTCTGTTATAAAAAGTCCAAATCAGCTCAAGAAAGAAGTGTATGAACTAAGAGTTCAGGTATGTACTGAGTGACCTGGCTGCACTCGATTTACCCTGCTACCGCCCCTTCCTGGAGGAGCCCTAGTGGGGAAATCTCCCTCTAGTTGTTGGTGTGGCTCCTTATCTCGGTGTGACCAGAGGCATTGCAATCTATACAGTGATACATATGGGAGTTGAGAAATAATTTACAACCCCTCCCCCAATATCTAGTGAAAGTAATGCTGTACCTTGGCTACTGCTATCACTTCTAACTGCATTTACATCAAGATGATTATATTTCTTTCCATCCTCAGAAAAAGACAACAATCTTTTAGGGAAATCCATCACATTTTTAAGTTGCAGAGCTGTAATGCCAAATGAGTGAACAGCCTAATATTTTAAGGGGAAGACAGCAAGTGTGGTATTTTTCAGAGGGGTTCAGCAGACCAGCACCTTTGTTTCTAAGCCATTTCAGCATAAACATGCCCATTAGGGATGTGGTTTTTTTTTCCAACAGTTTCTGTCCTGACATGAAAAACACCTTAAATTGAAGGAGGTGAATTTGTCTGCATGTTGCAATTGTTTAATTTAAACATATTTTGTCTTTCAGTTAATAAAAACAGCAGCTAGATTTGCTATACAGCCTATACCCAGCTTAAATGAAGTCTATCCAGATGGCAAAGCAGAATTGCAGATCAGAGAACAGAAATGTCATTTTGCTCTTTCAAATTTCACGCAGCCTGAATACCTCAAGTACATCTTACCTCTCAGAGATCCAAAGCTGCTGCCCTTCCAGAACTCTGCCAGTTAAATACCTATGGTACTCAGCAAATGTCAAGTTCATCTTCCTTTTCCATTTCATAAATACTTTGGGCAAGCAATTATCTTGTCTGTATCAAGTTATTTGTCTTTAGAGGACTGTTTTTACCTAGGGTGAAATACTAAGCTCAAGAACAAAACAAGAATTTTTTCCATCAGGGCTGGTTGAGACTGAATTATTACCACACTTTCTAATCATCATGAACTCCACTGCAAAGTGGACTGAGATTTCTATAGCAACATAAGACTGTGAATGCTTGTACAAAACTGCTGTTAGGTTGATTTTTGCATGCAAAACAAGACCCAAACATGGAACTAAGGAAGGAGCCAGCTGCAGCTAAGAAGGGAATATTCCTTCATCTCTTTTCTCTCTCTTAACTTTGTCCAGGCATCAGAAGTCAGCCCAGAAGGGGATGTCTCAGCATACGCCTTTGCCATGGTGACTATAAGGGTGGTTGACCTCAACAACCATCCGCCGACATTTTATGGAGAAAGCGGTCCCCAGAACAGATTTGAACTGACCATGTACGAGCATCCCCCAGAGGGTGAAATCTTGAGAGGGCTGAAGATTACTGTCAATGATTCAGATCAGGTACGTGGAAACTGTGAGTTTTCCTGCCCTGTTTTCACAAAGATAGAAATGGACATCAGAGTGGCAAGTGTCAGGCCTTCAGTTTTTTTTTTAGAACTGAATTGTTTCACGTGCATTCCCAGAAAGCTTAGGGCAAGCAAAATACTTGCCAAGACCATTGCCACAGAGAATTTAGACTCTAAGGCATATTTAGTTTGTCATACATCATTTAGTCTGACCATTATGTCAGAGAGAAGAGCACCAGTCCCAGATCTGCAGCCCACCTCTTGAGGACCTCTGAAATTGAAAAGTCTTCATGCATTTCCTTTGTCTGTTGGTTATGTTCAGTTGCTGTCAGCATAAAGTCTGGGAACATATTCCCTTTAGATAACTACTGAAGCCCCAATTGCTTTAGCAACTTGAAGTGCTTTAAGTTTCCGTCCATACCTTTCATAAGCCCTCTGGAAACAATTCTGTCTGTGCCCTTACATTGTATTTATGGCAGCATATTATCCTTCTAGAGCTTATGTTACAACCAGAGTCTGTAATTCATGCTTTGAAATATCATTCCCATTGGAGTCATATTTTTAGGTCATCTTAAAAATTACGCCAGCACCAAACTAACTGATCAAAGAAAAAAAAAGACAACTCCATCCATCTCAGCCCAATATCTAGCTGACCCCTGACACTCACAGATACTATTGTGATGGTTGCTATAGGGATCCCTAAGCTGAATACTGCAGGAAGGGCATCCACCTGAGTTAGTCTCAGAGTAGGCAGTGACAAGAGAGATTAATGCATCTGACAACTGTATTGTCATTGGAAAGAGTGCTCTTATTCAACTGTTCTCAGTATTGTGCTGTTTTGACTGTATTGTACTCTATCAAACCCACCAGCTTCTTCCACCTCCCTCCAACTGCACTGCAGCAAGCAGATAAATGACTGCTTTCAAAGCAGCGCTGCGTCTATCTCACTATTGTCACTGAGGACGTTGCTGCAGAAGAGAAGAAACAAAACCTATCTCTTTTATTTGGAGATCAAATACATATGTATCACCTAGACCGACAAAATACTCAGGGCTGCATGTTAGACTATAAACTAAGCAGCAAATACAGCTAATAGTTCAAATTTCTCAAGAAGCTTCCTAGTACAACATAAGACATCACTCTGTGGGGATAGGATTTTGTAATGCTATCATGGGACAGAAAGTGCCATGATAATAAAAGAGCTGCTTACCTTCAGAAGGCGTCAGGTAGGTAGGGATTCCCAGTGGCAAACACTATCATCTCCACTGCCAACCCTTCAATGAGGTCTGGGAAGGGATGGATCCTGGTTCCAGACCTTCCAGCCACTCAACTGCATTGCATGCACCTGTGCTGGTCCTGCCTTCCCACAAGGTGTTCCATCACTGGTTCAGTCCCTGATTTAGTATTTCCACTACAGACTGATACTGTTTCAAGACACAGAAAGCAATGTTTTCCCCCCTGTAAAGATTTATGTCTCTAACAGCCATTGATGTCTCTGGTGGTCCAGGTGAGAAGGAAGCCACAATCACGGCTTGCCTCAGGCCTACAGTTTGATGGAAATGCCATCTTGCAAGAACATCACACAGAAATTTCTCACCCCACTCTCTTCAGCCAGCAGACACCACTAAAGGCCTGGTGTCATCGTCCCTTCCATTGCTCCTCTGTCCTGCGGCTGTCTGCTTTGCTATGTGCAGCAGGGCTTATTCCACACAGATCTGGACTGGGCGGATAACACTGTCAAAAATCACTGAGCCTTTGAAGGGAGACAGCACTCTCTCCCACAGCACCGCGGGTTCAAGTGCAGAGGATTTCTTGTGGTCAGACATCCACCTCTCCCCACCAGCACCATTCCCTGCAGTCCGGCAGCTCTGGCTTTGCTTTGTGTGCCATAACGCCTGGCAGAAGGAAGCCTGTTGTCTCCTGCGTAGCTGCAGGGGTTTCTGTAACCAGCCAACTCAGACCACTTGTACTTAGATCCCGAATCACTCTTGTTTCCTTGTCATCTACCATGGAATACTTTTTGTCTTGACACGGGGCAGGGCTGCAGCAGGAACTACTTGTAACAATTCTCAGGAATAGAAAAGCAAAGTTATCCTGTTCAAAAGCTGCTATTAGAAATTCTTCACCTCAAGATTGATTGTGGGGGCAGAAAGCAGCACCAGCTAGGCAGGGAATGCAGCTTGTTGCCCCAGTGTAATCATTTTACTACTGGAAAAAACAGTGAAGTTAGAAACGTAGTTCAGTGGGCTCCCTTGTAAGGCAGAGATGTAGGAATCCCACTTCATTTTTTCTTCTCCATGTTGTAGCAGATTTTAAAGTTTGTCTGGCACTCTGGCACGCCATCGCCATCTCACACACCAGTGCTGCTAACCTAGATATCACCACTTCTCTTCTCCTCTATTGTCTAGAAGGTTTATCTATACGCTGGGATTTGGGCTTTCCCTTCACCTGGAGCTGTCAGACATGTATCACATTTCATTCTGCTCCCAAGTGCTCCAACTTCTGTTTGGAAATTGCACAATTTCACAGCTCCGTGTCATTCTGCGATGTGAGCTCTTAAACTACAGGTTGGATTTTTTGACAGGTCCATCGTCCTGGCTTGGCGGGTCAGTCATCTCCCCTCGGCAGGGACCAGGAGAAGGCAGAACTTCCACATCCATACACAAGCAGTGCTGTCCCTCTCTCCTGCACTCTTGCAGCACTAGGCAGAAAGTCAAAAACTTCTTACCAGAAGATTGCTTCTCCTAGTCAGACCCACCGCAGGGTTTTTCCATTATGACTGGAAGAATAACCGAGCTTGTCAATCTATTTACAGAAAAGTTACATGTCTCGTGACCAGGGCTGAAGGGATTATATAGCTAAGCTTCTTTCCCTGGGTATGGAGAACAGAGGGCTCTCAGCAGTAAGACTGATTCTAATTTCATACAGCTTGAAGAAACAGAGCCAGCTTAAGCTGTAAGAAATGCATCATTCACCAAAAGCAATGCAGTATCTGCTTTTCTTCACAGGGAGCCAACGCTAAATTCAACCTCCGTCTTGTTGGACCCGGTGGCATTTTTCGAGTCGTTCCCCAGACGGTCCTGAATGAGGCTCAGGTTACAATAATAGTGGAAAATTCTGCTGCTATTGACTATGAAAAATTCAAGGTCTTAACCTTTAAGGTACTTGTGCTTTCTGGACCCCCTCTGCTCATGTGTCTGATATGTGTATGATGGCTGACAAATCCGAAGGGATTTATCTCCTCCGTCCACCTGGAGCTATCTGATGATTTGCCACTGACTTTATATTCCATAGAAAGGAAAATAATTTCTCCCTGTGTTTCATCAACTTCCAAAAGGCTTACTAGATCCATCTATGGGATAATTTACTCCAGATAGTACAAGCTGTTGAGTATTAAGTATCAGTGGAAATTGTGTATAGTCCAAGTCATTCCAGACTAAGCTCCAAGGGTGTTATTTCTACTCTTACAGTGCTAGGTTCAACAGGGTGAAATTCTAATTTCCCTGGAGCCAGAAATTCACCTGTGTAGTCAGAAGTAATTCAATTCATTATCATACTTTGAATACTGGCTGGCCGAAGACCCCATCTGACCAGAAGATAATTTCCCAAAACTGCTCACTGCCTTTGTCAAAGTGTATCTCCCCTGTGTGGCCCTTTGCAGACCGATCTGGGGCCTTCTCACCGATGTTCTAAGCCAGCCACACAAGAGCCAGCAATCATCCGAATGCTGGAAACTTTTGTTTTATTATTTTTACAGAAGAAATATCGAATGATTTTGCCAAAAATGCAGAGCCTTTGTCTAAATTCCAAATGAAGAAGGTGTGGTGGGATGATATGGTAATGACACATTTGAGCAAATACTTTATAAAGACTTCATGGCCTTCTCCATTTCCTTGAGAAGTCAAAATTGCTTTCTATCTCGTTATAGTTGCTAATCTAGTCCAGTCATTCTACATAGACTTTAGGGTGAAACAGGCTCTTATTTCTATTTAATATGTATCCCACAGCAGCTTTGAGAAACTATTCTTTTTTTTTTTTAATCTTTTTTCCTATAAGCAACAATTCAGTTTCTCTGGTTTGTTATTGAACAGCAAAATGCCAGAGAGATATTAAAGCAGACTCAACAGGGAGGCACACCAAAGCACCACCCAAGGCAAAGGCCACCAGAGAAAATACATCTTCCGTTCAGAGATGGCTTTTAGATTCCATCAGCCGTCAGGACTCCCTTCATTTTTGGCTCAGAGCACATCCCTCCTCGAGGAGAGCCCGATCCCACCATCCTCTGTCTGCAGGCACTCACATCTCCTTCAGACTGGGGCCAGACACAGCTGCAATTATCCTCGGTTGCCAAAATAAAAGTCTATTTTAAAGAATCTCCTGCCACTTTTAAAGTTATATCTGTCTACTTTTCTGGCATTTGTATTAATTGCTGCTATGCAGTCCTGTGAAGTAACAGTTTTAGCTTTTTTTTTTTTCCCCTCTCTTTCTGCTTGTAGCATTGCATAATACATTGCAGATCAGAAATCTGACAAAAATCCCATCCTGTGGGAAGAATTTGCTGGTGCACTGACAGAGCCAGACTGTGGCTGCTGAATGGAGAGGGAATGAAAATGAACGTAAACAGAAAGTCAAAGCACTAAGCTGTCAGAAGGCACATTGGGATGCGCCAGTTCTATCACCAAAGATGATTTCACTGCAGATGCTATAATTTAGTTACAGCACCACATGCATCATAAGCAGTAAGATTTTATCCGTGTGCTGACCTAGGAGGTGATTGCTCACATGCAGATTTGGTGATGCCTGACTCTACTTTTAAAAATTTATTTTGCCAAAACCCTTTGAATCACCCAAGAACATGAGTTTGCAGAGACATGGCAACAAGATCTCCTTTGAGAACATATGTGCCCTGAGGTAATTCAAGCAATCCTTCAGGTTGTAAGCCTTCAGGAATCCCGTAGCTATTTATTCCTAGCCACTACACCTGTTTACACAGTAGTGACAGTTCCAAAAGATGATGCTGGTGGTCTTCTCCCCACCTACTTCAAACTCTTGCTCCAAGCCCTGCCACCTATGGGCAATGCAGCCTTTCTCCAACACACAGGGAAGAGGAGCTCCCACAGCCCTCAGCTCAGGAGCTGCACAAAAGTGGGCAAGAGCTCCGTGGCAGTAACCCTTCTGTGCAATCAGAAGCTCAAAGCTTTCACTAGGACATAACATGTGCTTTTTAGTCATTTTCTGTTTCTTTTTCTGTAGCTTCTTGCAATAGAGGTGAACACACCAGAGAAATTCAGCTCAACAGCTGATGTAGCGATACGCCTGCTGGATACCAATGACAATGTCCCAAAGTTCTCCTCTGATTACTACATTGCCAGGATCCCTGAGAACTCTCCAGGGGGCTCAAATGTAGTTGCTGTAACTGTAAGTTTTACTCACCTGTAAATAAATGTTCTCTTTTCTAGCTATTTGCGCAGACAGCTTGAAGGCCTTAAAAATCATAAAATCATGGAATTGTTTGAGTTGGAAGGGATCCTAAAAGGCCAGCTTGCCACATTGCTTCTGGATTCAGCTCCAGTTCCTTTCCAGAATCAACACAATAATAATAATTTTTTAAAATAGTGATAAATATTTTTCAGATAGATATCAGTATTTTTAAACTGTTTTTCAGAACAAGTTTTATTTATTTTTGTTTGAATTAAAGGCCATCTGCTTTTAAGAGAAATCACATGATCACTGAGTACTAGGAAGGCCGCAGTCAAATCCGTGTCCAATGGAAATATTTGGTTATGGCTAAGTGGAATTACATTTACTGGATTTTCTTGCTTAAGTACAAGTAAAAAGAAAACAAGATGGCTGTTTAGTGGGTATTAGTCTCCTCTTCCTGGGAAGAGTCTGGCTGCTCCATGCCTAATTAGACAGTTATTAAGGGAAGACTATGACACTAAAATGCTTAGAGCTGGGAAAGAAAGATTCCCGTAAGCATCTCCTCACAGAGGGAATAATACGCCTATAAATTTTCTTGTATCTCACATTTTCATAAAAGCAGTGTTATATGGGTGCTGTGCTGGAGTCGTGGCTGGAAGCCATTAGATGCAAGCTGTACCTCTTCAATGCAGCTGCTGGGAAACACATCCCATGTCCCAGAGCTCCTGGCTGCATGGGAATTGGCAGACAAAACAAGTCACCTTGACTCCATGCACCACTGCATTTGCAGCAAGAAAAGTAGGCAATTCCACAAGGTACATAACAACAACAAAAAAATTATGAAAAGTTTCCCAAAGAAGCAAAACTAACCATTCTGAGCCCAGGTGAAAAGGACAGCATAGCTGAAGATTCCATGTGAAGTTTGTTTTCAAGTGGCACCAACTCAGTGCTTGATCTGTATTCATAAATACATTTCACAAAGCAAGATTCGCTGGATAAAGAGAATCCTGCACATGCAGAATGTTTTACAAGAGTCCAGAACAAAGACATCATCTGATGTAGTATCTGCATTTTTAAAAGTGATTATTAAGTATAACTTGAAATAACTTGAAATTTTTGTTATGCATTACTTTAAATTGAATCAATTAAATAAGCAGATTAAAAAAAAAATCCTCTGGATAAAGTAAATTATTATGACCAGAGAATGTGCATTAATATTTAAATGATAATTGGGAAGGCTTGATAGCAGGCAATTTGTTTGTGTCATTGAGATCGACTTCGTTGCTCGTAAAGGAAGGATGCGCTAAATGTCAACAAATAGAGCCACCTAGCGGCTTGCCTCCGGCACCAGCCTGGCCAGGAGTCCGACGGCATCTTCTCTGCCTTCCTGGGAATATTTCTTTGGCATTTCTTTGTGTCAAAGGAGAACTTTTCCCTGAGTTAAAAAATAATCATCATCACCATAATTTATAAATGTCAGTTTTCGAAGAGCACAACTGTTAATGTGACTTCCACCTAAAAATGTTCTGGGATAAGGAGGGAAAAGTCTTTTCATTGTTAAGTGACTTGTTTTTAAAGGAAAAAATGAATACATTTCTTTTTGCAATTTAAGAATATGGCTGTCTCTTCTACTTTTAAGGCTACAGACCCAGACTCTGGGCTTTGGGGAGAAGTCAAGTACTCTATCTATGGAACGGGAGCAGATCTGTAAGTAAAAAAGGAAAATTAAGTGATATACAACCAGACTTAAGGCACATGTGCAAGAGAGATGAGAGATGTTGGTCTAGTTGTGAAAAGCTCACTATAGGGGGAAAAAATTCCTTGCTCTCTATCCTCCCTTTCTGTGTAGCTGTACAAATATTTGAGTTCCAACTCCTGTCAAAATAAATCAAAGAAGTCAATATTTTCAAAGATGTAAACCTGAACTTTGAAGGCCAGCTATATTGAATGTTCAAGGCATCTTATATATTTAAACCTTATAGCCCTACATCAGGGAACAATGGAATTTGATCCTTATTTGATGGTGTAATGATCTCTAGTTCCCTTTCCCTGCCTTTGGGAAGTAGGGGTAAGAGCATCCCAATACACTGGTTTTGCCCACACTGTTCCCATCCCAGTGATTGCTCTGGTCTGTTGGCTGGGGCTCCTAGCCTTGCCTAGCATCAGCAGTCTGTCACAGATATCATTGCTGGAAGTTGCATCTCCTGAACACAGAACGTGGAAAAGAACGAACTGCTGAGGCACTCATCCCCGCAATCCATTTTTCTCCAGGCTTTATCCCCTGGAGTTAGAGCTGAACTCCTCTTGTTAGGGTAAAAGCCATTTAGAAGACATTGTCAAAGTCCAAAATCCAAGATGCTAAGGGTGAACCTCTTCTGTAGCCAGAGAGGTACACATATGGGAGCACTTCCAGGACGGATTATTTTGATCCACTCAGTAAGTCCTTAAGCTAGCTGCATAAAGGCAAGCAGGCAGAGGTCATGTCATAGAGGGAGACTTCTCTGGTTTAAAATGTAACAGCTGGTGCAACAAAGCTTGTTAAGGTTTCTGACGAAGGATTTAGAAAAAGGTGTAGGTAATACTTTCTTCTGATTGGAGTTGCAGGGATGTTCAGACTCTGTTCTTACACCATCAAATGAGCAAATTAGGATATCAAGACTTTGTCTGTTCTTAAATACATTTTGGGTGGGTTTTTTTGTTTTGTTGTTGTTGTTGTTTGGTGGGGTTTTTTTGTTTGTTTTGCTTGTGCCAGGCTGGCATGGCTCTCCAAGGCTGGACTGATTTCGAGTTTTGGACCTCCAGAATCACTGAATGCACAGATTTGAGATTTTCAATTAGGAACATGTTTTTTTTTTTTTCTTTTACAGCAGCATAAACGCAGTTATGCTGGCAGAAAAGTGATTTTTTCTTGAGTAAGAGGAATGTTGATAGCCCTTGAAGACATAATCATTACATCAGTTCTATTCCCTCCAAACTGACTTTGGGAGTGGGGCACATTGCTGCAATATCTTCACTTCTCTGTGTTTCTTTCTTTCATTAAGATGGGGATGGTGAGAGTCTCTCTACAAGGTTTCATTGGGCTGGGCATTAAGAAGGCACTCAGCACAGGCACTGACTGCTACCAAGAGTATGCACAACTCTTTCCACCACTGGGTCTAGTATTTGTATTTAACAGATAAGTGGAAAGAATTGATGAATCCCATTTATTAAGTACTTGTTTTATAATCACTCTCAATCGTACTCACATCTGTAGTACAGAAAATGTTTTGTCATTCTTTAATTAAAGGGTATGTAAAACCTTCTATTTGTTAAAAACCCTGCTGTTTGGAGCCTACATTGGCAGTCCATTTACAAATGATAGTGTGTTAGTATCTTCTCTATAAATCCAAGCTTTTGCTTGTCACTTTTGACAGTGTATCAGTAATTACAATTGTATAGAATTGAACTTGCTACAGATAAATCTGAACACCCACTTCATCCCAGTGCCAGTCTGTGGAAAAGTGATTATTTTTGGAAGAAATAATTTGGCCTGCAGTTTTGGGACTTTGAGAACAGTTATTTTTCTTACCTATTCTAAGAAGAAAAGAGCTTAAAAATGATATGCAGCAAACTTCCATTAGCTATCAAGGATACATCAATCAATCTCAATTTATTTAGAACACGATCTAATACACTGCACTTCTTATAAACTGAAGGAATAGGCAATTCCTCAATGTTTTAATGCAAAGAAATGGGGGAAGGCCAACATGGTGAGCATTTATTCAGGACAAAGTCTATAATAGAAAATGCAGCTGAAATGATGTGAGCAGTGAATAGAAAAACACCAAACACTGGTTGTTTTGTGACTTCCAGATCTAAAGACAAGCAGAATGAATGATTCAGAAACATTACTCTGGCATGAGGCTGGTGAACTATACTAATCTTTGGGGCACAGTGTGCCCCAAGTTTTTCAGTGTTTAGAACCCACCTTAACCCTAGAATACAAATACACATTAAGCAACCACATAGAAAACAAACAAACAAAGAACCCCATAAGTCTCTCAATGCTTCTTTTCCAGGTTCCTAATCCACCCATCGACGGGTATAATCTACACCCAACCCTGGGCTGTATTAGATGCTGAAGTGAACTCAAAGTATAATTTCTACGTGAAAGCAGAGGACACAGATGGGAAATACAGCTTGGCTGAAGTGTTTATCACTGTGCTAGATGTCAATGACCACTCTCCAGAATTCAATGAAAACATCCAGGAAAAGACGATGATCATCGGGTCACCAGTGAAGATAGAGGTGAGAAAGAACATAGTGTGTCACAAAGCAGAGTGCTTGGGAAAAGCCCCAGCTATGCGGTTTATTGCTCAGGGATCATCATGACTAATGCCTGAAGGTTGCCTTTTCCTGAGGCTTTACTTTTCACACCCATCTGTATGTAACAAATGCATTACAGCATGGAAAAATAGTATTTACAGACTGCTGAAAAGGAGAAATAAAATTATACAGGTAAAAGATATGGTTCTATTACAGCATTTGAACTGTTAGCTGGTGGAGAATCTTGAATTATACAGTGATCATAAGAAACCCAACTTGCTTAACATTCCTGTGATGCCACTGTGCTCTTTCCCTTCGTTTTGCAGGACTGTACATAATGATCCAGTGCAGAACAAGGGTTAAAAATAATTGCAGTAGCAGTTCACAGGCGAAGGAGCAGAACATCCTATGTTACACCTATTTGAACTTATACAGTCAAGCCTGAATGTGCAACACCTAGAATGAGTAGAATAAAACTACAGCACAAATCTTAAGGCATCTATAAAGTGCATGGAGCTAATCCAGTTGTTCTCTATTCACTTCAACTTTTGTCCACAACACTGTGTGAGATAGTCCCTAGCAATGGACCGTGTGCATTCTATAGTTTTTCCTCTTTTTTCCTCTAATGTGAAATAGATATCATTTACAGAATGCTACATTGCTAGCACTGATGTTTTTCTCAAGTAAATATAGGGCAGCTGATGTCAGGAAAGGATAATTTGTTTCCAAGGCCAAACTTATACAGATCAGTAATTTTACTGCATGGATATTATCAGAATTTAATGCTCAGAAACTTCCAAAGTTTTGTTGTTGGGCAAAGACACAAGCACTGTCATCTTTTTCTCTACACTTTCCTTACCAGGCTATAGATCAAGATGCAGAAGAACCAAACAACATTGTGGATTATTCCATCATGCAAGCAGATCCAGCCAATGTGTTTGATATAGACCAAAGCACGGGGGAAATCAAGCTGAAGTCCTATATCCGTTCCCTGGACATCATCCACAACATTACAAAGAACAAAGACTGCATATGGTCATTGGTGGTGCAGGCCAAAGACCGAGGCTCCCCATCCTTCAGTACCACAGCAGTTCTGAAGATTGATATCACAGAGGAGGTAAGAAAACATTGTAGAAAAATTCTTAGGTGGGATGACTCTTGAGAGGCACCAAAGTGTAGCTATTGCTTGTTTCATTTCCAAGACATCTTTAAAAACAGTTCAGGAATTGAAATTGTCAGGAAAAAATGTTGCCTGCCACTGCTTCTTTCTTTGGTAGCTCTGTAGCACAGAACATTCCACAGACACAAATGTAGAAGGTATTTTGGTCAGAAAAACTGCGAAAGTACAAAGGTAGGAGCATAACATGATTGGGAGCTAGAATAGAATAGTTTCAGTTGAAATGGACCACAAAGATCATTGAGCCCAACTGTCTGCCATAGAACTTTTGAGACTGACCCAAGCATTAAAGCATTATCAGAATGCCTCCTAAACACACAGGAAGCCTGTTTCAGTGTCTAACTACCATCTTGGCAAAGAAGTTCTTCCTAATGCCCGATTTGAGCCTCCTCCAATGCAGCTTAGAGCCATTCACATGTATCCCACACCATTAGGTAGCTGGGAGAAAATAACTCCTCCCACTCCACTTCCTCTCCTCAGAAAAAAAGTTGCAGAGAGCATTACATTCACCTGTTAACCTCCCCTTCTTCAAGTTTAACAATCCAGTGTTGCCAATTCTTGTTATATGACATGCCTTCCAGTCCCCCAATTATGAGTTTCTTGCATTTGATTGTTAGGGACAGGTGAAAATTAAGGACTATAGATTCCTGAGAGTAAAAATAAATGCTGACTGCCAAATCTCTGACCTTTTGTTCACGCTCAAAAAAGGAAAATACTTTTCTCTCACAAAAAGTGACTGAAAAGTGGCTGGGGACGGAGTGAGATATGTCAGAACACTTTTGCAAATCAAAATTAGTGGTGCAGGAATAGCGAGGAGACTTTATAGATTTTTTGTTAAGTATATAGAAATTTGAATACAAGTTTTGTAATTTCAGTATTATTAGCAAAGGAGTTGACTCTACAAGATAGAACACATAGGTTGACTTTCTCATTAGTCCAACTTTATCATCTACCAAAGAGCAGGGAGCGATTTATGGTGAGCAGTGCATGCTTCTGTGGTTATTATTTATTGTTACTTGCCGAGTCTTTAAGTAGGCACCAGCAAAGAGGAAATGGGCTTTAACATGGATGAGATCCACATCATTAGCCACTGGACGAGGCACAGACTGGGTAAACATACAAATCTCTTCCTACACACACCACCTTCTCCTTTTTTTTTTTTTTTGGCTCAAGATGCAACTAGGTGATTTTTTTCTGTTTTCTCTGCCTCCTTTTTTTCCACTGATACTCCTTATCAGGTGGATTTATATTACACTCCTTGATTATGCTTCAGAGCTTGCTGGAAGTTAAGTTTCAGCAGAGAGCACTTCTGCTCATCAACAAGGTAAACTCTGAGTACCAAATGCGCAGGAGGAGCTCCCCATCCCTGCTCTTGGCATCAACCCACCAGGGCTGCAGCCCCAGGGACTGTAGGGACTGAGGTACAGGGCTGAGGGGTGTTGACGGGAGTGAGGGAGCCCTACACCTCCTCTGCTGGGGGGAGATGATATATACCTGAGCTGTTTCCAGCATCTACACTTGTGGATGAAGGATATCTGGGAGAAAAGAAGGAGTATCTAGCGCTTTGGGATTAACAGTTCCTTGGATTTCTTTCTAATGTGTGAAGCAACATAAACACCTGATGTAAAGAAGGCGTCTCCTACAACAGCCCGTCTCTGCTTCCTTTCAATCCAGGCATACATATCTGGCACAAAGTGAGGGATTTGGAGATCTGGAGTACTAATCTGATGTAACATCTGTCCTCTGAAACTTCTGTACATTTCTCCACTACTTCTTTCACTGCTTGTAGTGATTTGACAAAGCACTCACAAATTTCATCTTCCACTTGAGTGATGTATTACGGCAGTGTAGAAGGCTCCTGCTCACTCCCTGTGCCCCAGACACTTCATGATTACTGCTAGCACTTGGTGAAGGAAGCGGGCTCTTGCTTTAGGGACACCACGTATTCTCTCTCTCTCTGACTGTTATGAATGTCCATTTCCTCCTTCTGTGCTCCAGCTGAAAAAAGGTTCTTTTAGTTAGCTGTCTGGAGGTCATTTAAGTATTACTGATTTTGGATAAGAAAGATATTTTTGAGTGTATTCTCTAAGGGATTTCTTGCAGTGTTAATCACACCAAGCAATTAAACAGGCATATTTTCTGATTAACATTTACCACTGCAATTAACACAAGGCTGCGCCCTTCAAGATAGATGCCTTGTGGTATTGCACATCAAATTTTGCTCTTGGAACAATACAGTGATGAAAAACTCCAGAAGTCTTTTAATTTATCTGAGTTTCATTTTAGGGAAATTGGTGTTGAATAGCATCTGTTAGCCTCCTATCCTTTTTCAACAGAATAAGAAGCATATGCTGAAAAAGCTATGCTTTTTTCACCCTTACATCACAGTAAGAGATATTCCTGCTGCCCAAGATTTTCACTGGTAGTAGCTGATCCTAAGAATGGCCTGATGGTGGATCCCACTGCCTCCTTTTTGCATCCCTGCAAGGATATGAGGGTGTTTATTTACAGCTCTCTGGGGACTGAAGCTTAAGTCCACATTTAGACAGCTTAATCTGTGATATCTTTGGTTCTTAATAGCTTTGGCCACTGGTTTAGACTTCTAAACATAGCTAGTGAGTCTTAGTTTTAGATGCCCCTGATTGAAAGTTTCAACAAATACCATCTTTGAATTAATTTCCTCCTCTCCTGTACTCTGTGACCATCCCTAAAACAAGGCTAGATTTAATCTGAGGAAGAACTCAAGGGATGCTGAAAAGGTGGGAGTGAACTCCTCAGAACCAGCTGGTTGGTTTTACATACCCACCTGCTCAAGTTGACACAACCTGGCTTGGGCTCTTAACAGCTTTGTCCGCTTACTTAAGCTTCTAAATATAGCCAATGAGCTGTAGTGGCTCTCGTGGCTGAAAGCTCAACCACATGCTCCTCCTCTTGGGTCCTGCTTCTGGATGTGCCGCCCACTCAATCTGCTCTCAGCAACCCACACACTATGACAGGCTTTTGAGATGCTGCCAGGTGTGTGCACACTGTGATGTCTGCCTGCTGCAAACTGCTGTGGCAGAAAAGTGAAAACCAAAGGAAAAAAGTCACAAGTTCAGTAACAGAAAGAGGCATGGACATCCTGTTTGGTTAATTCAGGTTTTGAATTGTAATCTTGTCCCAGGAGCAGAATTCTGGTTTCTCAAAACTGATATACAGCTAATTCCAGACTCCTATCCCAGTTCTGTAGCTGCCCACTTGTTCCCAGCTCTTTTCTGGGCTGGTTCTCATTATAGCCATCTGATGAAATTCATGTACACTATAGCCATGTAATACAGAATGGTGAAGCCCTGACAGTCATGGGCTGCTCTGCTTTTGTATTCTAGTTAAGCTCTGTTGCTGATTAAATAATGGAATGAAAGTTTCTCCCTACCTTTAAAATAAGACTGCCCATGACTTTCAATAGCATTTCCTTGCCCATTTCTCTTTAGCAATCAGAAATATTTAGGATATGGGAACAGTGGTCTCAGAGGTAGTTTATGAAAATATAGAAGTGAAGTGAAGACACGTATCTTTCTTTATTTTCCATGTTCCGTACACATTTTACCCTACTTCCCTAGTTGTATTTATAATAGGTGCTCACCTCTTTCAAGCATAACTGCATTTGGGTTGACCATTTCTCTTATTTTTGACGTTTCCAGATCAAGTCCAGGGTAAAAACCTATATTTTAGGCCTCAAGAAGCGTCCATGGACGATATTTGGAATTTGCATGAGTGGCGTCCTTTCCACCATTTCTGTAACAATGGTGATCTCTACCATCATGTACTGGAAAAGTGTGAAAAGATCCAAGCTCCACCCGCAGGGCAAAATCCGCAAAATTATACGGGGACCGCCAAGACGCACATTGTGCTAAGCTGCAAAGTGAACTGGTCATTCATTTGTCCTTAATATGCCATATGTAGCTTATGTTTTTGCTTATTTCTTTTAAAAACAAAGCTCTTTAGTACTTCTCACGTCCCCTACCTCGAAGAGTTTTGTTATGTCTGTAAAAGAGTACTTGAAAACAGAATGCAGCACATATCTGCTTATTACTCATTTATATACTGTAATTTCATAAAACAAAGTTTTCTCGTAATCTTTTTAATGCCATATTCAGTAATAGTCCTGTAAAGTGCATCACTGTATCACCTGTGGCTGCTCTTGAAAGACCATTTTCTAATAATAAACTTATATCTGGTTTAGCACTATTATTCCTAGGAAATTAATTCTGCAGTACAGTGCAACAATACTGCTGCAGTTCCCAGAGCCAATTATTGTCTTGCTCAGTTCTTGCAAGTTAAGCAAATGCTAAGTGACACACAGGAGCCTACCCTAATCTGGCACATACTCGTGTTTGGTGGCCATCCATTTCACAGTACTGCAGCATTTGCCCAGGCTTTAAATTACCCAAAGCTGGATTGGCTCTTTGGCTCTCCCTTTTCATTAGAGACAACTTCCAATAGTGATCCCTGCTCAATACATATTTTGGACAAATGAAATTTCTAGGTTACTGTCTGTCCCACAGAGTAAGTCATGTGTTTCCTTTGTACTCTTTTACAGACTCTTCACAAAGGGCCTATGGCCGCCTTTTTGATGCAAACTAAAGATAACCCCATGAAAGCCTTAGGAGTGCTAGCTGGTGTCATGGGCATAATGGTGCTGATAACTATCATGATCTCTACTGCCATGTTCTGGCGCAATAAGCGGTCCAACAAAATCATGCCGGTAAGAAGGATCATAAAAAAGAGACAGACCCAGCCGTCCCGCACGGTGAGGATGGAGTGGCTGAAGTTCAAGAGGCCTAGTAATGCTGCGGAGAAGTTTGTCGTTGAGGACGATGCCAAGAGCCTGCAGAACGAGAACAGCAACAACAACGTCCAAGCAGCCCCCGTGCCCCCAGCCGCTCCCTTGCCCCCGCCGCCCCCCACCCTGGCCGCCAGTGGGAACACCGCAGTGTGGCGGGTGCCAACTGTGTCCGGCTCCCTCACTCCCAAGTTCATCAACAAGCAGCTGAAGAAGAGAGGTCATAGCAGTGCACACAACGCCCTGGTGTCAGAGCTCAAAATGAAGTTTGAGAAGAGAAATGCAGCTATGGGTGAGCCACACATCTAGGCCATGTCTAGGTGCTCTTGGCAGCCCCGGAGACTGTGGGTTGCGGCTGCACGTGGGTATGTTATATGCCGTGGTCTTCCCTGTCTGTCAATACCCGTGAACTGAGAGCAGCTTCTCACTGTGATAGCCATCCCTCACCTTCCAGAAATATTATGTGCTGTGGAGTCGCCCCACCTGTATCAAATGTTGTGATCTGTTCCCAGTTAGGACTGCAGTTCCTTCATTCCATATCCCAGAGCTTGTTCCACCCTGCAGCTGTCTAACCAGGGTGCTCCGTATGCTCTTGCGCCAACCAGAGCCTCCCAAAGTGAGCAGGTCTTTGGGCTGCCCCTGTTCCAGAGACCCTTAGTCAGCACTCTGCAGATGTCACTTCTGATCAGGTCTGGTAGGTGGAGCTGAGGCATTCAAAAACCCTTCACTTCAAAACCCATAACCAGTTCAGAAGGCATTGTTCTGGCTGTGGCAGCAGGGGCAGTGTGCAGGTCTCCTTCTGCACCAGCTCACAGAACACTGAGAGCAAGCTGTGTGCAGGTGAGACCTGTCTTCAGGCATGATGTGCAGTACAGCAGCTGGTGGAATAATGTGCTAATGGCAACAGCACCCTTCATCCTGTGTGCAGGCTTGGAAAAGTTCTTTGTTTTCCTGCAGATTATGCTGGGTTTTGCCAGAGCACATTGGCATGATCCCTCTGCCCCAAGATTGTCAGCTAACCTGAGGATGGGAGGACAGCTGGGGCAGGATACAAGCACAAGAATTCAGTAGTAGTGCTCACCTGATACAGCCTCCTTCTGATCACATACCCAAATGAGAGGCAAGCCGGCAGGAGAAGGATGTGATTAAAGCAGTGGGGAAAATAAGGTAAAACCGAAAGAAAAATTATATTGGAAAAATAGAAACAAAGTACTGGAAAGTCATACGTATCGGTCAGGGAAAGATAATTTGGTTCTGTATAATGCTAGCAGGGGGCTTGGAGAACAGATTTCATCATCCCTACCAGCTTGCTCCAGGGACTGGAGAGTGTAACAGGAGGTTCCATAAAACATTCTGGTTTGTACTACCAGCATTTTGCCTGAATAATGCAACAGATAACTGGAAAGACTTTTTTTTTCATTTTTTTTATACATAAAAAAATACTTTTTTATGTATATATATGTATATATATACATAAATACATATATATGTACATATATGTATATAAAGGGCACTGGAGGCAGAGCAGATTTTTACTGGGTCTACCCTAGTTTCTATGTCACACTTGTCTCTGAGGAGATGTTTTAAGCTGGACCTGGGAAGAAGGCAACATGCACTGGTCTGGCCAAGGAGAAGCACCCTGTGCCCACACTCCTGCCCCTTAAGGCAGCAGCGCCAGCTGCCTTAAGCTGGCTGTCGTGGATGGACACCATGAACATTGAGATGGGGAGCAAACCCTAAGTGACAGAACACTGTATTAATCCAAGGGGGCTGTGAGGCTTCTCAAACAACTGGTTTTTTGAGTCCTTTCAGCCGGACCAGCAGCCTGGCCCGTTTGGGGCTTTTCTTCCCTCACTCCATTAGTTGATCTACTCCTTTCATTTGCACCAGGACTTCATCACCTGAGGAGCTAGCATGTTGAACAAGAAATTACCCACTTACCAGAAACAATCCCATGTTTTTTAACTTCTGTTCACTCCAGTTCGCCATACCATGTTCTTGCCACCAGTGGACTGATCCAGGAGCAGCAGAGAGGAGCCATGGTGCCCAGTGCTGCTCAGCCAGTAGGCCCAAGCTTATGAGGAGAGTACAGGGTTGGGCTTCAGGACGTTCCTCTGCATCAGGCTCTAGAAGCACTGGGACTGTTATGCAGTGGAACTAGCTCTCAGATTGTGCTGGGGAGGCACAGCTGCTCAGGCCCCATGTAGATCAGGGACTGAAAACTGCAGAGCATCAAGGAACAGCAGTTTACCTGGTTTTGTGGGGGAACACAAAATAATATACATTCACTCATGAACACACTTCTCTGAAGCAGTCCCTGGTCTTGGGGCTGCACAAGGATCTGTGTGAGGAACCATGTGGCTGCAAATCTCTCTAAGGAGCGCTCTAAGGACACTTTAATCTGAGTGCAATGCCTGGAGCCAGACAAAGCCACAGACCCTCAGTGGAGAGATGGATGCTCAGCAGGGAGGAGCAGCCCTTGTGGGTATCACACTACCTTTCCCACTGTGCCCTTCATCACTCCTGTGTTATCTATCCAACTTTCCCTCAGGGCCCGCTGCCCATCCCTTCTCTTGGCTTCAGGTCCTTGCATCACGCACTATGTCTACATCCTCCGGCCACGGCCATTTGAGAAAGGGGAGACGCAGCCCCATCACAATTGCTCAGCCCTGGTCCTACGGCCACAGCCCCACATGTGCTTCTTTCTCTGGCTTGTGTCTCCTCCGGGCTCTGCAACGCTTCATGGGGCACCAAAACCTTGTGATGTATCCTGTGTTCCACTCTTTTCCCAATGTTGTGTTGAAGCCAGTATTCAACATTCATTCTCCATGAGGAAAGCCTATAACAACCATTCAATTAAGTGAGATATAATTAAGAGAGATATAGCAGGAATTATAGGCTTATAGTCTTAGAGATTATATTTAAGAAGGAATAAAGATGTTTTATTATAATGTTGTGAGACTTTTCCAGTTACTCTGTATTTCAACTTCAGAAAATTTTTTAATAAATAACAAAAAATATCTATATTGAAAACTTCTCACAGCGTGTTTCTTCTCATGGTGTGTTTTCACTGACAGAGATGCCTTCTTGTTCGTACGCTGAATGACTGGGATGACTTCCCAGGCCAGCCCCCATGGCCCCTGCTGGGCAGTTTCTGTGGGACAGCAGTGCCCCTCCTTTGGAGCACATTGGTAGAGGAGCCTGGGTCCGCTGCTGAGCCAGCACTGCCCTTCCCAGCAAAGCCAGGTCAGGAGGTCCAGCCCTGCCCCTCGCTGCTCAGCAATCTGGTTTCTTTGTGATTTGTAATGATAAAAGAGCAGAAATAAAGCAGAGAACAGTGCGCATTCTGAAAACCAGTCATGTTTATTACATTAACTCTAAGACAAGACTAAGAAGCCCCTTCAGGTATGACAACAAAAGTCAGCATTGACAGAGCAATTCTGTGTTTAGGAGCCATGCAGGTGGAGGTGCTGCAGAGGGAAATGGGGCCTGAGTTTGAACAGCACAGAACATACACAGGGAAGCCTAGCTTTGGTCACCCAAGCACAACTAGAAGCCAAATTGCCACACGCTAAAGCTCACATTAGTTTTTTGTCCCTCCAACTATAGCCAAGGTCTCTATTCTGATTTGGTTTTGGCTTTTTGGTTGTTTTTTTGTTGTTGTTGTTTTCTTTTTTTTGTTTGGTTGGTTGGTTTTGTTTTGTTTATTTTTGTGACAAAGTCTACAATAACCCATAGAACAAGGGCTGTGGGTGTGCCAGCCACATAATTTGTTTGTGCTGGAAATCACAAGGTCAAAAAAAAAGAAGATGAGTCATGTGTCCTCAGACCCTCTCAAAAAATGCAGCTGCTCTGCAAGCCTGAGTCAGTTGCTCCCACATGCGTATTTGGGTGTTCGGGTTTTTTTGCCTCCAGCAAGAAGGCAAGTGCAGATTGTGAAGCAGCAGGAGAGATTGGTGGTGCATCCTTGTCTGGGGTGGGGGCCTGGCTGCTGCTCAGACTCACGACACTCAACAGCAGCCAAAGCCCTACAGTCATGGCCATACCCGTACAGTGTTGGCAGCCAACGTCCCAATGGCAAGGGTCACTCCAAGTATCCCCATCACCTTCCCACATCACCTCCAAAGCCACTGCCACAAGCCTTCCTGGGGAAGCTGAGAGAAGTGGTGGTAAGAATTGAAAGGGAAACAGTGGTTGAGTATTTGTCCACAAAAACCAAGATGTTCATTCACCAGCTGTTGTTCTTAGTATTAAAAAAAAATAAATTCACACAACACTTGTGTAACAAAAGGCATTAGATATGCAAGTTTTTGTTATGCAAAAGCATGGCTACGCAGGAAACTAAACTGCTCGTCTAAGACACGTTTTAGACACAAGTAAATATTCCTTCCCTCTGTATTACATACAGCATTCCCATCAGAAAACAAGTAAAACCCTGCACTGCTATCACATTACACTGGTTCACAGGAGTAAGAAAACAACAAAGGAGAATTTAAAACAAACAAAAAAGCACTCCAAACCACACCCTCACCTTCTTACTTTTCCACTTGGCAGCCAACAGAAGTCCACACCTGGCACAGGGAGGAGCTGAAACCAACCTCCATGCCTACCACCTCCTGGGTGGGAAAAATAAAGAAATAATAATAAAAATACTTAAAAAAAAAAAAAAAAAGATGTTTATGTGAAAAAGAGCAGGCAGCTCTAGCCTGTCACTGCACGTGCTTCTACTGAGCTGTAGGGTCTGTGATTTTGTTAATGTTTGTTTCTTTGCATGCCAGATTGAAGCAGTCACACCATGGCTTTAAAACATTTCTTAAGAAGCGACTGCAAAATATTTTTGCTACGTTGTTTGTTAGATTGATTGAGTGCATCTCAGTGTATGTGTGTGTGCCAATGCATGTTGCTCTGTGGCAGTGCTGGCAGCCTGGGGTGCTGGGGTGCACGCCCCACAGTGCTGGGGCACCAAGCTCTCTGGAGATCCTGGCCGTACCCCCCACCATGCTCCATGTCTGTGCCACATGGGGAAAGCCAGCAAGATGGAGACCATTCACCAGGCCGTGAAGCCACAGATATGTTTGGGGAGGGGGCTGTGCTAATAGAGGTCAGCGCTGTTCCTGTGGGGCAACCGGGCCTTGCCGGGGCGCTCAGGCTCCTCGCGTGCTGGGGGCCGCCGGGCACCGCGGCCACCATCAGGACGGCAGAGTCCATCCTGACTGCCGCCGGGCAGGCTGTCCAGTGTGCTCTCCTTGCTGCCAGCACCTGGCTGCTTGTCCCCACGACGGCGGCGGGGCCAGGCAGCAGGGCAGCGGGCCAGGCAGCCGGGACGGGCCTCAGCGGTGCAGGCGTACATGCCGGCGGGCACAGCCAATACCATGGCGCAGACGATGACAACAATGTGGATGAGCTTCTCGCGCTGCTCCAGCTGGCTGATGTCGCTGCCTGTTACAAAGACAACACACTGGCCCTTGCGGGGCGCTTGGTTGCGAACAGCCACGCAGACTTCGTACTTGGTGGCGGGCAGCAGGTCGGTCACCGAATAGGTGTTGACACCGGGGCCGATGTAGATGGCGTCCTTCTGTGCGGTGTCGTAGCGGCCCACCAACAGCGTGTACCAGATCTCTCCCGGCTCTGCCACTGCCGCCGCTGCAAACCACTCCAGGGTGATGCCGTAGACCGTTTGCTTGGCAATACGCACCTCCACATGGGCGCCTGGCTCAACTGGGGCTGCAGCGGCCCAGCCCGGCTGCGTGGCAAAGGCTGGTGAGGTACCCACATGGAGCATGATGGCCGCCGAGGCGTTGCCCAAGAAGTTGGCGGCTGTGCAGGTGTAGTTGCCTGCGTCTGCAGGCCGTACAGCCGGGATCAGCAGGTCAGAACGGACAGTCTCCTCGCTGATGGGCTGAGTGGAAACTGCAGGGCAGAAAGAAGCCAAGTCAGTGTCTTGAGTAGTGATACTGTAGCCCTGAGACCATCTCAGAACAGAGTATGGATTAGGGAGCCAAGCAGCTCCAGCCTATCCTGGGGAAAAGGGAACAGGAGTGTGGCCCTGGCAGCCAAAAGAGCCAACCAACCCAGTCCTGGGGCCGTCGGACACAGCACAGCTAGCTGGCTGAAAGAAGTGACTGGCACACTGCACTCAGCATTGGTGCAGAGCACCTCCAAGTACTACCTGCAGCTTAGGGCACTACAGTGCAAGAAAGATGTAATAGCATTATGTTGTGTCCAAAGTAAGGCAACGGATACTGGAAGGACTGAAATGCATGACTTCTGTGGAGCAGCTGAGGTTCTTTAGCTCGCTCAGTGTAAAGAAGAGTGTAAGGACCCTCACTGGCCTCACAAGAGGAGCAGAGAGGCACGTACAGCCCTCAGCTCTTTGGTAACAACAGGATGCGAAGTAAGGGCTTACTGCTGCATCAGAGGAGGGTCAGAGGATAGGAAAAGGCTCTCCACTGAGAACCTGGTCAAGCACTGGAACACTCTTGAGGCAGCAGTCTCAGCGTCAAGCATTCTGGAGCTCAACAACTGTTGGGTCAATACTCTAAGTTACGTGGTTTAACTTTTAGGTGGCCCTGTGTGGAGTGACAAGATGGACTCAGTGATCTTTGTGGGTGCTTTCCAGCTCAGGATATTCAGTGAACCTACCCTGAAAGGGACATTTCACTGAGCAGACCCTAAATGCCTCATGGCGCTCTGCCCTCCTTGTGTCCAGGCTGCAAGAAAGCAGGGAAGGCTCTCCAGTTCACACATGTGCTGCGTTCCACTAGACTGGAAATTGAAAAACTCTATTCCCAAGAGGCTCTGGCCCAAAAAAGAGGCACGTGAGGCCAAGGAAGGGCAAACCTGGATGCAAAATGCAATTTTAGTAACTCTATGAACTAGCACACTATCTACACAAACATGGGTACATTGGTAAGAAGAACCTGTGTGTTATTAATCCAGCATGTGCTCACAGAAAGATGCACAAGTGCTGCTAAAATGCTGAAATAAATCAAACATCAGACCAAGATTAAGGGTAAATGCTGCCTTACTTAGATAGCAGGATTGTTAAGGCTACACATAACCTGCACAGTGGCTGTGTGTCGTTTTAATTTTGAACGTATGAAAATAGCAACTTGCCCTGTTGAAGGCTGGAACCAAAAATAGCTGTGAGGGAGGGCCAGCTGGACAGAGAGGAAGGGAAAAAGTCTCCTAGTATGAAGTCCTCAGCAAAGCAGATAAATTAGCGGGGTTTATGCAGAACAACAGCATTCATTTTGGTTATAAAGTGAGAGTGGACAGTGTCTAGTGATGTGGCTTCAAGGGTTTGTGGATTGCAGGGATATTTCCTGAGAAAATATATGGGAATAGTCTACAAGTGTGTACGTGTTCACACATGTAAACACATACATAAATACATAATTATATACAGAGAGATATATGTATAGAGAATGTGTGTATGGAGACTATATACATACATAGACATATCTAGTCACACACACCTATGTACTTATATAATTGTATATTATGCAGTATATATTATATATTTATATGCATGCCTAGATAACTGCATATTTTATATATATGCATGGCTGAGGTATTATTTATAGTTCTTATATCATTTGCCATGATGGAAAGGCTACTAATAAAAATCCACATGTCATAAAATAATTGTGGAACTTGTTCCTTTCATCTTTAGCCAATTTCTCACATAAAGTGTGATAATTAAGATTGTGTGGATTCTTTTGCAACCACAATGACAGTAATGCACCGAAGAGGCAGAGAACTGGTGTGGTGACTGGATGGCCTGAAGAACTACGTCAGCAGAGTAGCAAAACATAAATAAAGACAAAAAAAATCTTTTCTCTGCTTACCATTAAATGCCCGTAGAAGTTTGAATGCGTAAGTCCACCAGACGGCTGGGGCAGGGCTGGCTTGCACAAAGCAGGTCAGGGTGATGTTCAGCCCCACTTGGACTGTCAGATTGGTGTCAAGGGCTGAAGTTTGTGGCTTCATGCAGCTGTTGAGCTCCACTTCATGAAAAAATTTCCCTGCCCTGAATTTCGGGCTTGAGCAAGTTAAGTAGGAATTCATCAGAATAAGAGGAGGACCAACTGACTTGATAAACTGGACAAATCCTCTCAGGCGGCAGTCACAGATCCATGGGTTGTCATGGAGGGCCAGGACAACGTTGGAAATAGCTTCGCCCTGCCCTGCCGCCCTCTGGCTTCTCTGATAGATAGGCCAGCTGTAGAAGACATCCCTGGATATGACAGTAAGCTGATTTGAGGATAGATCTAAATAGGTCAGGTTGGGCAGATAGCGGAGCGCGTGTTCTGGAAGGACATCCAGCCGGTTGTGCTTCAGGTCCAGAATTTTCAGAGCTGGGGTGTCTTGAAATGCTGTCCATGGCACCGAACTTAATTTGTTCCCTTGCAAGCGCAGCTCCTTCAGAACCGGCAGGTACTCCAGGCTCTTCATGTGCATCACCGTGATGTTGTTGAAATTGAGCCAGAGATACTCCAAGGCACTAATGTTCGCAAATGACCCACGAGGCAATTCTGTTAGGTGAGAGTTTTCTATTCTAATTTTTCTAATGTCTTGAGGAATGTTTTCAGGAATCTTCCTCAGCAGTGCAGACATGCAGAGTAAACTCCTGAGGAGGAAACAAGAAAATTCTCTAGGTCATATGCTACTTTCATGGGTAACAAATCATTTCCTTACATAGATCTGCAAGCACACGAAGAATTAACAAGTGTTGCTTTCATGGCGTGCAGAAGCATTGTAAACATCCTTCGGTTCAGTTTTACACCATCTAAGAATACTATTAAAATAATTTTTAAAAAGCATTAAGAAAAAAAAGTTACATGTGTTCATATCTACATATGACTACGTATCTCAAGGAAATAAAAGAGATCTCATAATTATATCTTCAAGATGGTAATGTGTAGTATTAGTTATAGCAAAGGCATACCATGAGGCCACTTGGTTTTGGTCTTCATCACAACAACAAATATGTATAGGAATATATATATAGAAATCTCTGAGCTTCTACAATGATGCTACAGCTAAGGTAACTAGTTCTCTTACCTTCCAAAACTGTCCTGAGAACAAGAGCATCCTGTGACACAAGATGAAAAAGAAGGGTTTATCTTGTGGAAGGCCACAAGAAGAAGAAAAATGTGATGAATAGTAGGGTCCATATTCTCCTTTAAGACAGCACTGTGCAGGGTGTTCACCAAACATGCCAACAGCCTCCAAGAAGCAAATCCTATTATCTGTAATCTTCCTTGACGCAGAAATAAATCCTGCTGGGGACCCAGGCCTAAAGAACACATGTAGTATGGTTCACAGCCCATGTCGAAGGGCTAAAAATCACCCCTGGACTCACTCCTGGCCGCCTCTTACACAGCCATGGGGATGACAGATTTGCTTGGATGGTTATATAAAGCTCAACAGGCTCCTGAAGCTGAAAACTCTTCTGATCCCAAGTAGTTAACCAGGCCTATTTATGTTTGTTTGTTTTAAAATGAGTCTGCTTCAGTCTCCTGTATTTGAATGGCATTCATCAAGGCCAAAAACCACAATAAGGACCAGACCTCCCAGCTGTGATTTGGCAGCACATAGTGCTGATTGTGCAAACCATCAGGCTCCAAAACCTCCTCACAGCTCATCGCAGGGTGCACTATTACACGTGGTGGGCAAGAAAGCTACTCAGCTATTCTGTCACTGAAACTGAACACTAGTTCTCCAGTGAGACAACCACCTAAAAATATATATATTTTTTCCCCTCTCATTGTCTCCATTCTTACACAACGGCAATGAAAACAGCAACACAGGTATAGCCAGTCCATGGACTTCCCTGAGAAAAGACTGGTTTTAACATTCATCTACATTGTACAAAATATAAAATTTCAGTGCTATTTTAAGTTCTCGGGCTTCCCACATAAGACGTGTACCAATTGCTCTTTGGTCCCCTTGAAAAACTCAGTCTAAATAATATCATTATAATATATATATATATTTCTTTTAAAATCCAAAGCCAGCAGTTTTCAGTTCTGATTTCCAAGCAGCACTGTGTTCTCCTGGGGCCATCTAGTGTGCTTGGACTTCATTACAGCCTGCTGGATGCAGCAGCCATCGGTAAAGAGCTTAACCTCAGTACCAATACATGTGAAGCTGGGTCACAAATCAAGATTAGCCTGAACCTACTTAACCTCCAACCTGCGGACCAGGATAGAAAAATATTTATAGCACAAAAGCTTAGAACCATACATATCTTCTGGGGCACGTGCGCTAATGTAGCTGCTGTAAGCCTCCAGAAGACGTGGGGCTGATTCTGTAGATTTAAAATCAGCAGGCTCTTTGATTTTAAGGCTAATCAGAAAAACAAACTGATGGAGAACGTTGAGGACTGCTGCTGGGTTTTGTGACTGCTTCCAGCTCACAAGGGGCAGGCTGCAATTAGTGGGTCCATTGGGCTGCCACTGCTGTCTATGCCTAGCAGCTAACCACAGCCATATGGGCATGATATTTTTAGCAAAAATGCACATGACTTATCATGATGTCGTACTTGATGGTATTTCAACAAGTGCCCTCCAATCTAATATGTCATTAGCAAAACACAACATGAAAGAGAAAGGTGTTGGTCTAGTGCAGCAGGGACAGCAGCTACTAGCTCCCACCTGACAGTGGTGGCTGCAGGGATGTCACTGAGGAGTTCTTACAATGTAGACCTTGTAAGCCAACACAGGTACTCTTTATCCCCTATTAATATGGCTTAAGTGGCAAAGTGGTCACCAGTCACTGGGGCTTGCTGGCTGAACCAGGAGGGCTGAAGGATTCACACTGGTAGCAGCGATAAGAAGTTGTGTCACACAGTGTTCTTGGCCATGGGAACTGAAGCCTCAAAACTCCATGGGCCTACTTTGTGTAGGCATGAGCATCTAAGAAAGTGAACACAACAGGCACTTTGTGCTTGAAGTCCTGTCCTGTAGTCTGCCATGGAATTAACTCCTAATGGAACAATGTTACTATAATGCTATAGTAATAATTTTGTAATTTTACAATTTATTATAGCTGCTGATAATATTACATGGTAATAATAGTAGTAACATACCAAAAAAGAGTTGGGCATCAGGAACAAGCCTATGTGCATTGCAGAAGCAACTAGGGAAACACTTTCAGATGAGGCAAAAAAAAACCACCAAAAAAACAACAAAAAACAATGTCTTAATGGCACTCATTGAGAAAAATGCTCTAGGAAATGCTCATTTCATGAGTCACCAAAGTTCAACCTCTAATACAGCTGGGTTGGGGACTGTTGATGAGAAGCTGTGGTTGTTTTCTTGGTTCCACTTCTCCCAGTCCCACCTATTTCCTATGAGGCTGAGAAGTGGCCTTTCTAGCAGAGCTGTCTGCCAGTACCACGGGCCGATGCTCTGGCTGTTTTAAAGTTGATATTTATTTGCTATTTGAGAGGCCATTTAAATATTCCCAAATAATTTCCAAAATTGCCAAGTGTGCTCAGAAGCTTCAGCATTAACCTGGGGAACTACAGAGGAATTATATATCAAAATAAGATGAATTGATGGGTAGAGAGTAACCACACTATAGGGTAGAGACCGGGAGAGGAGGAAAGAGTGTACATCCTCCAAACAGTGTTAGCCACAGCCTTTATGCTTATGCTCCCTACTGGAGTGAGATTTTGTCGCATCTTCAATTCAGCCGAGTTTATGCCTGCCTGTAAATTTAATGGCCACTTTTGTGGCAGCAGATGTCCACTCAGTTCAGCTGTTCTTTACCGTCATGTGGCATCACGATTGAAGCCAAAATGCAGAACAAACTGTCTAAAACCCAAGCTGTCAAAATAAATTTCAATAGAGATATTGTATGCTAATCCATGGGAAATAGAGTTTAAGAGATCATGCTCATTTCCAAAGCAAATGCTGAAGGGAAGCCCCTCGCATGCCTCCAGCAACAGAAAGGGATCCAAATAGTTGTATTGAAATGATGGGCACATGCATCTGTAAGAAACCAAGTTAAGGCCAATGCTTTACAATTAGAGGCCCTTTACCAGGGTTATCACAGCTAGAAATCCCTGCTAGGGAGGGCAAATGAGGTGAAGGCTGCAGTTAGTTATTTCAGACATGGTGCATCTAACACCAAATGGCACAGGGCTGGAAAAGCAGCTTTTGAAAAGAGGACAGTGATGTGAAAAAGAAGAGGTAAATTCTTTCATGAATCTTCAACAGCAGCTGTACAAACCTGCAAAACTTTCCCCATTTTCTCAGTAACCCAACAACACTGACAGCATCCCTCTGGGATTCCTGACACATCACTGACCCTAGCAGGTCCCACAAGGGGCAGGCAAGGAGGCCACCAGCCTTCCAATACATTTAAATCACTGTATGGAAATGAAGTGGTTATCAGCCAGGACATTATTCTGCACCTGTGGAATTTTTATGCATATGTTCCATTGAAAACATTTGCAGAGACTTTGTAGTTCAGAGCACATACTATTCTTCTTCTGGATCTGCTCATCAGACAACCTGGGCACTTCTGAACATGTTTGCAAAACCATTTTTCAAAGCCTTAACCTACTTTTTTTACCTTTCTTCCAATGCACTTCAATTACTTGCAGTACTCCTTTTTAATCACTTTTGTCATATTTTTTCCTTTATATTCTGCTTACTTCTTTCATTTTGATCGCTGCTCTTCTCAAGAGTCTTTTGATTAAAACCAGTTTTTTCAGTGCAATTCAGAGCTATTTGGATCCATTTTTAAAACACTATCATGTTCTTTTTGACACCTTATCCTTCATATTTCACTTCTGCATCAAGAAAACCAAAACATTAAAGTGAGGATAGGAGGGGGGGGGAGAAAGGGGAGAGCACGGAAACTGTCCTTACAGCAATTCTGTCCAAGGACTGACCCTAACCAAGTAAGAAGCTGTTCCCAGGCATGAGCTCTGAGCCAGCTCTGTTCGGCGTGCAGTGACCAGAGATCATCACTCACCTACACTGATCCTGCTGAAAGAGGAAAGAGGTCCCTAACACCCATGGGTAAAGAAACAGAAAAGTGCGATGAGGTTTTTATTTGCATTTTCACTTGCCTCATACAACTGCAGATCCCATTCACAGTTTTGAAATCTGCCAGCCATCCATTCTGCAGAAAATCAGTTTACTTGTAACAGTTTGAAATTCCACATACAGTTTAGCAAGACACCGCAGAACACAGGGCTTACACATGTTGCAATCTATTGCCTACCTTGTGTGAATAACCAGTCTGGTACCAGATATTCTGGTTTTGGAGCAGCAGCTGAGCTGCTTAAGCATTTTGCATCACCTACAGGACAGTGAGAATCACCATAGGAAATAGAAATGGAAAATCACATTTATTCTACTTGGGATTGCTATTTATTCCAAGTGCAAAAATATCCAGTAGAGTCTAAAGCTTAACACATCCACAAGGAAGGCCATGAGATGACCTGTCCTTCCCATCCCCACGGGTAAGGACTGATGGGACTAACCCAACCAGTGCCTTTATCACTGTGGTTGCCCTGGAGTGGATAAGGGCTGTTCTTAGCCAGGACTACGTGTGGCAAATTACCCTGCTCCTGCCTTCAGGCAGCTGAAAGGTAAATACATCTCACTCCCAGATGGCTGCAAACCACACTTGTGGGAAAGCCCTTGGGCAGCAGGGCCACTCCATTCACGGCAGGAGAGCTTCAGGACAGCCTTGATTTTTCAATACTAAAAATTAGCCACCCGTGCTAGGCTGGGCTCCTTGCTGATTTCTGCACAGCCCGAAGCAACACCACTACAGATGAGGGCAGGAATTGGGTTGAAAAAAACAACAATCCTTTCAACCCATACAAAAAACTGCTACTGGAACAACATTTTTAATCCACCTTGAAGAATGAGACTTGAAATCAATCCTGGGAAAAATAAATGTATAAATAAATAATCTATTAGGTACTACCTATTTCATCAATTGATCTATCGTGTTAAAATACATTTTGAAAAAGGTTATTTGTAAACATAAAAATCTATGCAGCAGCATGAATTGCTATATAGAGGGACTGAAAAATTCTCCCAGTGCAAGAGAAGTTCCTTCTCATGAA